GGATGGTTCTAAATACATTTCCAGAATATTCATCCGTTCTTGTTTTTCAGTCCACGCTAAGCGTGTCTTTTCCAATTTCTGGTAGAACTAGAAGATAGTGTTGCATCAAAAGGTCAAGGCTGTCACTAAATTGCTGAAACAATTGGCCTACACCGGCCAGCTCTTTGCTTTCGTCGGACCTAATAACATTATCCATGTCTTTCCAAGAACAACATCATCAGGTAAGACTACACCGTGAAGCCACTTATTGCTTATTATCTCGAACAGGCTACCAGAAGCGTAGAGAACAGTTAATGCGCATACTAGGCAGCTTCAGTTTGTCTGAGTTATTCATACCCAACGCCTAGTATGCTTGGTTGTGTTCCCTCACGCAGAAGCTTCTGGTAATACGCTCTGATTCCTTTTGTATTCTCGATCACCTGTAAGGCTTTCTATACCCCTGAATTCCAGTTCAGCGAGGAGTCCGTAGCCAGGAAAGTCAGACAGTTCCTCCTCCAGGGCGAAGATCGAAGATTAAAGTTACTCTCACCTTGCGCGGTACTGCACAGTCAAAATCTCCAGTATACATTACTGCCAGCTACTTGCTGCTTCTGTTTCTCTATCTATAGGGTCGGAAGGATGAGAAATCGAATCGATTTTCTATCCTCTCCACATATAAGTCTTCGGCAGGGGTCGTGAAGAGCTTCCCGGTCGCTTGCATTCATGACATGGCTTGAGATTGCTTCCTATGTAATAATTCATCCTAGAGCATGGGGTAGGAGTGAATTGTGTATCTTTGATCAAAGTAGTAGGTAGGTTCTTGTCGCTAGGATATGAACAACCTGTCTATGACAGCTAAACTGGTTAGCACTCTTGGTCGGATAACCTGGTGTAGTGGATAGCTGTCTAAGTATCTAGACAAGTACCGCGTGTATGCTTGAATAGCAGACAATTTAGATTGGCTGTGGTGGCTAGCTAAGGATATGGCACCAAGACATAATGAGCGGAGAGAAACAGATTCTTGATTAGAGCGACCTAACTAAGAAGAGCAAAGAGCTTAGACGATAGGAAAATGGAAAGCAAAGCGAGAAAAACTTAGAAGAAAGAAAAAACAAAAAAAAGAAAAGAAAAAGAAAAAGAGAAAAAGCAAAAAGGAATTGCAAAGCAGAGATGTCTTTATGAAGAGAGTCCACAGTAAGCAGTAATGAGCAATGGTAAGTAACAGTAAGCAGGCCAACTAAGCTCCAGTACTTGGCTTGACGTTCTCCTTTCTGGTGTCTTCCTTCTTTGGTACTTCCTTCTGAACTTGTTTCTTTCCCTGGTTGGCTTTGTGCCGATTGTGCCATACGTCAACCCCTTTGGTCTCGCATATGAATGCGATCCCTGGTAAGCCTGCCAACTTCGAATATAGAGCCCAATCTGCATAGACAAGCCAGCACTGGGATTCAGTTTCGAAGATTTTGTCAATTTCGAAAATAAAATATGGAGGGAGTCTATTGATCCATTCAGCCAGGGAATCCAGACCGATTTGTCCCATGCTGGGGTGCACATGGATAGAAAAGTAAGCCCGCAGAGTAGCGGGGCCAGGGAGAGAAAATGGGGCATAGGACCCGGGGAGCTTGAGCCGGATTGAGCTCGTTCCAGCGAGTAAGCCATATGTAGGCTTCTTTGGCGTATCTTCCGCCCTCAAGTCCCTGACCAACTCGGCGAACTCAATATGTTCGTGTTTCTGGCCTACGGCCTTCGCAATAGCTGCCGAGAGCCGTGCCGTCAAGGATACCTTGCTACCAGGTATATTCGCGGTTGGATCTTGGAAACTGGTGGCCGCCACGACCTCCGTAACCCTTTCACGATTGTCCACAGACCGAGTTGCCAAGTGAGACCAGCAGCAATCAAGTATGAAAATCACGTCCACGCCATCTATTTGTGCTTTGTCATCCACACTGCTGAATAGGGCAAAAGAAGCTTGAATGTTTTTGTTTCCTGGGCCGCACAATAGAAGCTCGCCACTTGGGCTCTCCCTGCCATGGCCAGCGTAATGAACCATGACGAGCGAACGGCCGTCACATGTCAGGCCTTCGCCAACCATATCCATAAACTTGCGTCTAAGACCCCATCCCGGGACTTTGTCGCCCGCTGGGATGATGTATTCAATAGCCGAAGGGAATCCGAGACTACGTAGGATCATGTTGAAGTTTTTCGTATCACGTTCTGCCTTCGTTTGGTCGGCTTCCCATCTGACCGCGAAAGGAATAACCTTCTGATATTGCCGCACTCGAGTCTCCATGGCAGTTTCGAGACACAGTTTAAGGTCACTCGCCTTTATGGTATCTTGGGGTTGAGTCGTTGACATATTGCAGAATTGAAAATAAAAATTGAAGATAGGACTGGAGATAGGACCGAAGATAGGATCGAAGACAGGATCGAAGATGAGGAGTGAAGAAGAGGATCGAAGAAAAGGATCGAAGAAGAGGATCGAAGAAGAGGATCGAAGAAGAGGATTAAAGACAGGATTGAAGATGCAGAATACTAACAAGGATTTTACGTGTTGCTTAAGAAGTTGTTGAGTAGGGAAAAGAAGTAAGAGTAGAGAAAGGTAAGGGCAGGGAGACGGTATATATAAGAGTCATTGTGAGATGAATGTTGTAAGAATGTGGTCACTCTGACTTAGTCCAAGCTATTCAATGAAAGATCTGTGACTCCATATCAAGATATTCAAGAGTTGGTTGACACGGCTAGTGACATTCACTTCTTCATATAGTATAGGTTTTTTTTTTTTCTTTCTTTCTTTTTTTTTTTTTTTTTTTTTTTTTTTTTTTTTTTTTTTTTTTTTTTTTTTTTTTTTTTTTTTTTTTATCGGGCGTCTAGGAGGTAATCACTAAAATTCATACACAATTTCTAGATGATTATAATAATACAGGAGCTATATTGGAATTCTTTCTCTCGAATTCAAGGGTTTCTTCAGGTGACTCAGTAATGACATATGACCGTACCGAAGTTAGTAGAAAGCTATCAGAGAATGCTCACGTTGAAGTCAATATCAGATTCATATCGAGGATTCCTCTGATCGTGGAATGTGATCTGGACTACTAAATCCCGACCTCTAATCACTACGTCGACTCGTGCCTTTCATTCAGCATCCTTATTGAATATGTGGACCCAATGCTATGGAATCTTTATTTATCAACCATGGGAAACAGCGGTCGATCTCTACATTCCCTATCCCCACGGACGGCCCTTCGCTAACACAAAGATATCAGACGCTTGAACAGTCATGGCTATTCTCTTCATCCTAGTGGATGAAGTAGCATACATATGGCCCGCTAACTTCGAAGGAAACGGAAAACTTGAAAAATAAAGATGTGGCTACCTCTGGATCGACCAGGGGTTATTACACTGAATAAAGAACAATGCGTAGCTGTTTATAAGGGATACTACGTGTCCGCCACCGGTTAAGTGACTAGAGAAATTGAACGAAATATTCTGGGAAACGATACTTGCAGTCGGATCCAGTGTGGGCTCCCTCTTGTCGCTGTTGCAGCCATCTTTATATGACTACACTCTTAAAAACAGAGAAAACGAGCGCTTTTATTGACACCCAGGTGGATCGATTCACAGCAAACACATACATACGGAGTAGGTAGACCATTGGAGGATAGTCTGTCGCTCCGCTATATTATACTGTGTAGTAGTAACCCTATTATTATTATATCCGCTGGTTGGATCCCCACTCGAGTTTTGCCCCACTTGATCACCACCGTCCAAAGTTTGAAAGCGATCATCGTAACGTCTCGTTGTGCTTTCCCTGTTGAACTCCAGGAAAACCTGACCGCTATTTGTCTTAGTAGATCTTGAGATCTACTTCAATCTCAAATAGAGATGCTGCTAAAGAATTAGCTGGGAGATGTCTCACTCTAGTATGGATTTCCGATCCACCCGTTGCTGCAGACCAGATTTCCATCAATTCGATTTATCGATAAGATGTAAATCAAATCCGCCGGATGTTTCAAACCCTAAACAAACGTCTCGTGCCCAAAGTCTTACGCAACCAATTTTTAATTTTCCCTTGGAATTACCTGTCCCAAGGGGATCTAGAACGATGAGTGGACGCCGAGGCAGGTTTGTTATTAACTTCACTTATCATATGAAGTGAAATGGAGCGATAAATAAATGGGCCACGGCGCAGTTGCCAGGTGCAACGGCCCGTGTTTACGTGCGCTTTTCACTACCCCTCAGCGAATCACTGCAAAACAACGTCACATCAGTAGCCCTAACAGTAGAGGGGCGATCGAAACATGACGTTGCAGTTAATATAATGACTCTTGTGGGGACGTCTAACTTCTGGAGGGGGTGGTTGGGGATGTTGCCTGTTTACCATGCTATTCTCACTGATTCCCGATCATCTTCACTTCTTGGACTTCACTTTGGAATTCGTTCACTTGAATACAGATTCTATCCTCGTTGCCGACTTGACCCTGGATTTTTCCCACTTCACTGGACTCTCACGTTCCTCTCCAAGCCGACTCACGAAACGTCCAGACGCGCCGGCTGCGAGTCGATCTAGGAAACGCCGATCAACGGTCTTTCTGGATGCACTATGGTTTGCCTCAGATTGCACTTGAAGAAGAAGCAAGCCTAATTATGCATGAAAAGACCTCTCAGCAAAAGTCAGCGAACTTGCTGCTCTACACCATCTAATACCTCTTCCTCTTTCTCTGACTCTGACTCTGCAACATGACTGCTTTTATCACGCTTCTGGTAGCCCTGTTCCTAGGCTGCCAAGTGTTTGCAATTCCATACGTCCCGTCCCATCTTCTGTATTCAGCGCAGTACAATGGATCCATTGCATATCTGTTACGGCCCAGTAGTAACCATACTATTGAATTCCTCTCATTGAACATCTCCCAAGACATTGACAGCGCCCAGCCCCAATATACCACCTTACTGGACGATGCGTCGTTTCAGCTTGACAAGCAAAACCCCGTCCATATTCCGGCTATCGACCAACACGGCATTTTAAAAGTCTATACGGGAGATTGCCAAAATACTTCGGGGTATGGTGCCTTATGGCAATTCGTCCCGGATGCAGCGAGTTCCACCGGCAATGGAACATGGGAGAGAATCGAGGTAAATGGGACCGGTCAGTCGAACATCAGCCCTCATGGGCCAAACTATCTCGCCGCTGGTTTTACATACGCCTCCACCAATACAACTAACAGCTCTTTCTACGCCTTTGGTGGAATGTGCCCACTTGCAAGTGCCTCCGAGGCCACCTGGATCACTGCCGCCAACTACTCTCAGTCCATGATAGCCCTGGAACCTCCCAAAACCGATGGTCTAACTTCCTACCGGCTCTCAGCGACCGGTGACCGCGCACCTCCAATCCCTGAAGCTGGGTTCACGATTACTCCGTTACAGGCAACATATAGGTCTACATCCAGTGGCACATTGATACAACAACAAGATTTTCTGCTGATCGGAGGCCAGACTCAAAACGCATTCATCAATATGTCACAGGTTGCTGTCTTTTCACTGCCACAGAGCAGCTGGAGTTTTGTCACGATTGATTCTACACAGAGCCTGGGCCGAACGGAGCTCGCCATCCGGGCTCCCTCGGCAGTGGAACCTAGGTCCGGCCATACAGCCGTCCTTTCGCCAGATGGAAGTAAGGTGGTGGTCTTTGGGGGCTGGGTTGGTAACACCAGCATTCCTGCCAGTCCACAGTTAGCTATCCTTGAGCTAGCAGCAGACTCTACAGGCGCCGAATGGGCCTGGAAGATCCCGCCCACCGGAGACGCTGGGGTAGCGGAGGGAACTGGAATCTATGGACACGGCGCAACAATGCTTCCGGGCGGAGTGATGATGATCACGGGCGGTTACCATATAGCACAGTCAAGTAAACGATCTATGACTGGCACCGAGGTTAACTCGGCAGTTCTCATGTACAACGTTACTTCGGGTAAATGGGTTTCCTCCTACTCAAACCCCGGTTCTTTTCAGCCAGATGGCATATCCAGATCGTCCGTATCCCGCAGAACTGGGCTTGGTGTCGGACTCGGTTTAGGTATTCCCTGTGTTGCGGGGGCGGCTGTTTTTCTTTGGTTCTACTTCCGGCGACGGCGAGTACGCCGAACTCGAAACCAGATGCTCCGCGAACTATCTTTGGGTGCAGAACGGTCTATTTTCTGGAGCCCGGAAGAGTCCCATCTGGCTAGCAGTACTCACAGGCCTCCCCAGATTATGGCTGAAAGAACAGGCCTTCTAAGGGAACCCTCTAGTCCCACTAAAAACAACCCGCTGCCTTTGAATGCGAGAATGTACAGACCTCCCGCTCAATGTAATGAGTATAGGCGAAGCGACGGGACCGGTGACATGCATCCGATTGATGAAGAAGATGAGGCACATGGTGCAGCAGGTGGAGATAGCACCGGTTTATTGCCAAAGGTGACTCGTATAGAGCTTTCTCCTGAGAGACCCACAGCCTTTGCAACGAGCATCGGTCGACCTAACGAGGGACAACCTTCAGAGCACGCTGACAGAGAATCTTCAAACCTTTCGGACTTCTCGAGGCCGGTAGCTCATCCATCTCGCGGTATTATCGACAGCCATCCGGGCCAGCCAACCAGTGGACGTGCATCCCCGGAAAAGCCGAGTTCTGCATCCAACCAAAGTCGGGACACTTGGAGCCGACCTAACAGTACCGTGATCTCTCATGAACGCCGGTCTTCTGATTCATTTTCAACTGCCCATACAACGATTTCACAACGACAAGCAGAAGGCGAACATCTTCTACGAAACGACCCTGAACCGTCCTCTCCAATTGACCTTATGCCAAGACCTCTCTCTATCTCAAAACCGAGGGCTGAATGGATCGGCAATGTCCGACGAGTGCTCTCTATGACACGAAAGCGGCCCCAGTCATCTGAAGATGGCAGTGTTGCCTCTACGGCTTCGGGTATCGACAGAAGGAGTGCCGTGCTTGGATCCCCAGGGCCTTTGTTCGATTATGAACTTGAATCCAAGCTCCCTCGGCGATCCGTCAGTGCCTCAGCGGAACTATTTCGCCGCAAACAGGGTGCTAAAGACTGGGGAACGGGCAATATTGTTTCACGTGAGTTGACTGGGAGGATGACACGCGATGACTTTGGATTGGATGGAGTGCTAGATCTCAATGATGGCGACTGGGATGTGGAGGGCGCAGCAGAGAACCGACGCGTCCAAATCACCTTTACCGTGCCGAAGGAGAAGCTGCGAGTTGTCAATGCTACGGCCAATGATATGGACGATATCAGCGAGAAGTCCGTTAGTCGAAGCAACAGTCGGTGATGATCTTGACGTTAGTCTGATATGACATATATACACATCGAACGTGTCTATCGTTGACTATATCAACGGTAGAAGGTGGTGGACTAAATAGCCTGAACGGTCTGAATGTTGGGTAGGAAGCACCAGTGTTCCTGCCAATCCAGCGTTAGCTATCCTCTAACTGGCAGCAGACTCTACAGGGGTCCGCCGAGGCAGGTGCGGTCGTTATATGAAAATGGAATGGAAGGAGCAATGGGCCATAGGGTTGTCACCAGCACGGGTGCTTATACTACAACTCCGCGAATAGCTTCAACAATGTCGCTCCAGTAGCCCTAACGGTGGAGGGGCATCCGAGGTCGATATCATGGCTTTGGCGGTCTAAAGTCAGCGCCGGCGGCGGTTGGGAATTAGGCAGACATTGGAATTGTTGGGACTTATGATGCTATCATGACCGATGCAGGCGGTCATCTTCCACCTTGGGTTCTCAACTTCACTTCTGACTTCTTCTCTGATTCAACCACCTGTCTTCAAACATCTCTTTCTAGCATTCAGTGAATAAGATACCTTGTTCCCATCTTCAAGGAAGAATTCTCTCATAAGATTGCTCACCACACTACAAAAATGAACACTTTTATCCTCACTCTCTTGGTAGCCCTCACCATGGGCTGCCCCCCCATATACGCCATGCCAATCAGTGTTGATTTGGCTAAAACCAAGCCATCGATTTCCACCTACACTAGGCTTAGGGTTGGGCACGCTATAAGCATCCCTTTGATTATTGGGGTAGTTGTTATCATCGGCCTCTACCTCCAGCGCCAGCGAAAGAGAGTAGAAAATCAAGACCGCGACAATTGGCTAAGGGAGCTCTCGCTGACAACACAGCGGAAGATCCTCTGGCATCCAACCGACCCCTACTCTTCCTGTGAAATAAAAAAGCCTCCCAGGGAAGCAATTACCTCTGTGCCCCAGCCGCCACCAAGGTGGTAAGATAACCCTAAGATCATAGCATGAAAGAACAGACATTCTAATACAAATTATAGTGTGGTTAGAGAGGGCCGATTACTTCTGTGCACATGTCACCGGCCCCTGGTACATCACGCCGAGATTAGGCGCGCCGAGATCAGGCGAAGTACCGGGGCCGGTGATATGTGCACCATTTTGGAGGAGTGATATAGGGGTTTTCTGGTCTTGTCACCCCTTTCCATCGGCCTCTATATCGTGCGGTTGTGGGTTGGTGGACGGGCTTGGGGTTCCCTTGTGGGACAAACCCACAACCGCACGATATGTCAGTGGATTGGGGTGGGCATGGTATATCATGTTGTGTTTTTTTGGTTTGGTTTCGGTGTTGGGTTTGGGTTTGGGGTTGGTCTTTTCTGGGTTTTCTCGGGCTTTTTCTCCTTTTTTTTTCTTTTTTTTCTGAATTGTGAATTTCGAATTTTGGGACATAATTGGCTTTGTTGTTTCTTTTCTTTTGTTGTACTGGTTATAGATAGATACCCCTCTGCTTTAAATGAGCGGATGAGAGTCAAGAGACTCTTTAGATGAATAGATTCTTTTCTCCAGGATTATACATCAACTGTTGTAGTGTACGGCGGACTAAATGGTCTAAATTACTTTACAAAGCCATTGAGTGCAATGGATAGACCTTACCTAGTTTATGTCCCCATATATTTGTATTGACCACCCTCCCTCCTCTCTCTCTCTCTCTCCCTTATACCTGCAGTACCTAGGGCATTGCAGCAGCACGTGTCTCGGGCCGCATTGACACTGACTTAATTTATCCGACTCCGCTGCTTTGAGAAAGTTGACTTCTCTTTTAGTTAAACTCTGCAGCCCATGTCAATTACACATAGAGAATACAATTTCCATATTTAACGGATTTATCCAAAGGAACCCAACTCTATGATGCTATGAAAAGAAAATAAACGACCTTCTTTATGGACAAAAAAAAATAAAAAGAAAAGGAGTTGTAAAGGAAAACAGAAACTAAACCTCACTTCATGAACTACATAACCATACCATGCATTTTTACTTCATCTCAGCTCGAACCAGGTTCATTCGATCTGAAAACTTCACAAGCACTTAACTTGATCATGCGGAGCCAGGCTTAACCGTAGGATGAGTCGGGATAGTCTTAGGCAGAGGAGGGAGCAAGTTCTTCGCGCTCTCACGAGCATACTGGGCCATGAGAGCGTCCATGATGACGAGGGCGGACATGGTTTCAACGATAGGAACAGCACGGGGTACGACGCAGGGGTCGTGACGGCCCTTAGCCTCGAGGGTGCCCTCTTCGAGGCCGTAGGAGGCAGTCGTTTGGGCCTGGCCGATGGTGGCCGGGGGCTTGAAGGCGATGCGGAAGTAAATGGAAGCACCGTTGGAGATGCCGCCCTGGATACCGCCGGAGTTGTTGGTCTTGGTGGTCAGACGCTGCTTGGTGGCCGTTTCGGTGCCGGTGCGGGTTTCAACGTCCGAGACGACGAAGGGATCGTTGTGGATGGAGCCAGGCACTTCGCAGCCGCCGAAGCCCGAGCCGATTTCGAAGCCCTTTGTTGCGGGGATGCTGAGCATGGCGTGCGCGAGCTTGGCTTCGAGCTTGTCGAAGCAGGGCTCGCCGAGTCCGACGGGCACGTTGCGGATCACGCACGTTACGGTGCCGCCGATGCTGTCTTGGTTGTCGCGGAATTGCTCGATGACTTTGGTCATGCGGGCTGCGGCGTCTTGGTTGGGGCAGCGGGTCGGCACGAAGGAGTCGACGGTTTCGCGGCTGATGCTCTCAACGAGGTTCAGGAATTCGGGGTTAGTGGCGGGGGAGGGGTGCTCAGGGGTGGGGGGGAAGAGGTGCTCGTTGCCGACGGAGGAGACGAAGGCGACGATCTCAACGCCGTGGGAGAGACGCAGGTACTTCTCAGCAATGGCTCCAGCGGCGACACGGCCTGATCTTGTCAGTATTGCTTTCGTCCTGCCTTCCCTAGGCCCACGGCCTCGCTCGGTGCATGCGCGGTGACTCACCGATCGTCTCACGAGCACTGCTGCGGCCACCGCCACTGCTGGCCTTGACGCCATATTTCTCGAGGTAGGTGAAATCGGCATGGCTGGGGCGAGGGTACAAGTCCATTGTGCTTCCACCGTAGTCCTTGGGTCTCTGGTCCTCGTTGCGGACCATCATGCCAATCGGGGTACCGAGGGTGACACCGAATTCCGTTCCCGACTGGATTTCCACGCGGTCCTTCTCATTTCTAGGGGTCGTCAAAGCGCTCTGTCCGGGACGTCTCCGGGTCATCTGAGGCTGGACATCAGCCTCAGTAAGCTCCATTCCTGGAGGGCAGCCATCGACGATGCAGCCGACGGAGCGGCAGTGGGATTCACCGTAACTGGAGGAGGCGCAACATGTGAGCCTTATTTGTCCATACTTGCAGGTTTTGGTTGTGGACTCACGTGGTGACCTTGAAGTATTCGCCCCAAGTCGACATGATGAACAATCGATCAATTGGTTGTTCTTATTGAAATTAAGAAACGTTGGCGGGGTAGTCGGAGCTCGATATGAGGGGCGTTACTTTCACAGCACCGGACAGGTATGCGTAGAGGTGATCGCAGAAAGGATTTAGAGGGACGACTGAATTGAAAGTCGATCTAATGGTACCCCGCGAGGATCTTCAACGAACAAGAGAACATAGAAAAACCCACTTGATGATTGCATGATGGAAAATAAGGTGAGAAATATGGCATCTTTTCGCTTTCCCGATCTGGTTTAGCGTCCGGAGATCGGAGGCCCAGCGGCCTGAGTCACCAATCATTGGGCGGTGAGCGGACACTGCGTACGGACGATACGTATCAGTACCTTACTTTAATTTCCATACTGCATACTTACTATCTTTAGTCCCTGATGCTCTTCCGCCTCAATGCGCCCACTCCGACGAGGCTTATGCCTACTATCCTCCCTCCGAACACCAACATGGTCGGCTGCAGCCCTTCGCCCTGTCTTCGTACGATATAATTCCTCTTTCTCCTCCGATCAGTTCGCTCAGCTCGCGAGCCGCGAATCCTCCCAGCACCAGATCTATCAGTCCCTCTCAACGGACCCATATGTCAACTTATCAATTGAACATTTCCTGCTAGAAAATGCCCCACCAGACTCGAGCATCCTCTTCCTATACATTAATCAGCCATGCGTCGTGATCGGACGAAATCAAAACCCGTGGCATGAGACCAACCTCCTCGCCCTACAGAATGACCGCGAGCCAAACACCCAAGGGAAGAATGACAACGGCGCGCTCCTTGTGCGCCGAAGATCAGGTGGAGGCGCCGTCTACCACGACGAAGGCAACCTGAACTACAGCGTGATCTCACCCCGGACAACATTCACTCGAAACAAGCATGCAGAGATGGTAGTGCGGGCATTGCATCGCGTCGGAGCTACGAACACCAGTGTCAACGATCGCCATGACATCGTCATGTCGACCGGACAGCCACAGCCTCGGAAAATCTCCGGCTCGGCCTTTAAATTGACCAGACACCGCGCACTGCACCATGGCACATGTCTGCTGGACACTCCGAATATCAACCGGCTAGGCTCCTTCCTGCGATCGCCGGCTCGGGACTATATCAAAGCCAAGGGTGTGGAGAGTGTTCGGTCTCCCGTGGCGAATGTCTCGTCTGTCTTTGTGGATGCTATGATGCCTTTTTCTATCGAGCGCGTCATGGCTAGTATTGTTGAGGAGTTCGCCCAGATGTATCAAGTGGATGCCGATGCTGTGCGTCGTGCGCAACGGGCTCATGCCCTTGAACCGGAGCTGTATGCGGGTGATACTTGGGTTGCGGGCGCGGTAGGGGAACAGCAGGGCTACGGAGAGCCTGAGATTAAGAAGGGCATTGATGAATTGACGGTACGAGCTAACCAACCAAGGTTTCCTACTGCCCCAGACTTATTGGCGCTAACCAAAATCGTTCTAAAATAGTCCTTGGAGTGGAAATACACCCAAACACCACAGTTCACCTTCTCCACGTACCCCATTGAAGACGATCCACGTGAAAGACCCCCTCTACTATCCACGTTGCCGCATGCGGTAAGTGATTCCCCCTAGTAAAAACTCAAGAGCGTGCTCGCTAATCAGTTCAGACACGTGTGTTCCTCCGCCTGAAACACGGTGCTATCATCGAGAGCCATATTTCGACCTCTGGAGATGTGTCTGTAGCTTCCGAGCAGGCTGCACGCGTGCACGAGGCTTTAAACGGCCGTAAGCTCCACGAGATCACTCCGGCTCAGTGGCATAAGATTTTGCTTGATCGACTTGGTGCTGATGTAGAGGACAAGACTTTGCTAGAACTTGCTAAGTTTATCGGGAGTAAGCTTGGTTGGGACACTAGTTTGTGATGCTCTTATGATTGTTATATAGATGTATCATAAAAGACTGTATATTATAGCTGTGCCTACGGGCCTATGTGTACAACATATAAGACTTGTTTGTAGATAGCTACAAATAAAAGAAAACAAGATGCAGCGGACAAGTTCAAAAATTACGAACCAACTGAGGGTCTATCTATTCCAACATATTGATCTATGCAGATGCCGCTGACATCACTGACCGCCGCTCTCCATAAGCCGCTTCAACCACTCCGGAATGACAGGCAGTCGTTCCCATTTCTGCCTCCATGCATCCCCATCCCCATGGGCAGGCAAAGCAAAGACAGCAGTCACAAACCAACGCTCAGCTCCTGAGGGCAGACCAGCCCCCAGAGAAGGCAGCAGAGTGCGACCATACATGAGGTTCGAGTTAGGATCGGCGAGGACCACCCTCCCAGCCCGGTCAACACCGGATTGTAACTCTACAATACCCACAGCCCCAACCGAGGAAACCGTGAGCGCCTTCTGAGATTCCTGCAAGGTCCCTTCGGAGGGCCGTTCCGCTAACGGACCAAGAATCCGGCCATTATCGCTCCGACACCCGTAGATGGCGAAAGCACCCTCGGACGTCATGAGGTCTCGTCCTGTGCGGACGCGGTGCGCGCGGATATGCCAGTTCTCGCTTTCTTCGAGCGGTGGAATCAGGTATGTTTCTACCTCCACGTCTGACCAGGGTTTCCAGGTGGAGGCTAGCACGGGGATATCATCGTGGGATTCGATGCGGGCATTTATGGCCAGTCGCCGCGTTTGCCAGATGTCTCCTCCGTCGTCGGAGAGTGCTAGCATACTGTCCGGGGCATGTTGTTCCAGTTGGTACGAGCCTGTCGGAACGGAGTACCCGAAAGATGCGCTATAGGCGAATTTGCCGTATTTTGCCTGAGTTGCCTTCAAGGGGTAGTGGCAGGCTTGCCCGGAAGAGAGCAGGAATGAATGTCCGCCACGGTGAACTACGATGTGCTTGGGATACTGGAGCGCTGCAACGGGTGAGAGGGAGGCGATTGGATATGGTTCCTCCTTGGCTGCCCAGAATGGGTGTGTTTCTCCCAGCACCAGAGGGACAAATGAAAGGCAACACCAGTAGGGTGAGCCGGGGGAGTTATAGTTCTCTGTCAGGTACATGTTCGCGTATGAATATCCGAGATTCAGCGTTCCATCGCTGTTGAACATGTCCTCTTGGGTTGCCCACCAGCGGAAATGTCTCAAGAGAAGACCCTTGACAACACCCCAGGTGAGTGGTGCCGGGGGCGCGACGTCTGCAAAAGCAAGTGCTCCCCAGAACCCAGCCATGGCGAATCGATAGGTCATGGACCTTCCGAAAGGGATGGCGGCTCCTGTCAGTAAAAGACATACGGTCAGTACTGATTGTGGGCTAGTTCAGTTCCGCGAGAAAACCAACCATCTGCATCAAAATAGTACACAAAGTCAAGAGCAAATTGTCTCGCCCGTTCTCGATACCGTTCAGCCCGTTGCGGGTCAAAATCGGCTGCCAGTCTCGAATAAAGTAACTGCAAGAATTGGATAGCAAACGAGCCGGAGTAGTAATCCATCTGATGGTGACTCTTCGGACCATCGTTGCTCCATCCTCCACCAACATGGAAGGTGTCCAAGTGGTCCATATCAGCTTCGATACGGGGGAGTGAATAAGGGGCTCCGTTTCTCCTTAGACCTAAGTTGGCAAAGACCCGGAACCACAACCTGAATGTGTTCTGTTGTGAGTCTTCTGAGACTACTATCTATGTAATCATGCGTTGTGCAGGGCCATACCAGTTCGTATTGGGCATCTCACGCTCATTAATACTAGCCAACCAACTTGCAACATTGTGCTTCTGCTGAATCGTCAAGGGATCCCAGAATACATGCGGAGCGACCGCCAACGCAAACCCGAGGGGGCACATTTCCACCATGCGCTGGTCGAGATCCTCTATATCTCCCCAATACTCTGGACTTCGGGGGTCTGTCCCGTTGATGATTCCCTGGTACCAACGCACTGCCTCTGGGTATTGATAACCGCCTCCCAGCAGAGCAGCTAGGCCCCACAGGGGTCGCGCGAAGCCCTCAATCTGGGCACCACCTTCGTCGAAACGGGTCGTCGACGATCCAATCTTCACTCGACTGCATCCCGGTGTGAAGCGCGGGACGAGCGGATCAAGGAGTGCCCGGCATGCATCTTGAAAATCGCGGCGGGTGCGAAAAGGTGATCGGCTGAAGGCCTGAATGGGGGTCTTTCCGTTTGCTTGTACTGACATTATGTGTGGTACGCTGCTGAATGGTGCTTGGTTCGATATGCGCACAGAAACATTGCATCGGCCGGCCGTGTCTAGTTTCGACTTGGCGGTATATATTCAGTCTGCTGAAACCTACGACGGGTAAGACCGGAGTTCTTTCCGATGTCTTATCCATCGAGGTGATCATCATTGTATGAGAATCGTTGAATATCAAAGGAAATCCGCTCTGGCCATTGGTGGATTAAAGTGACCGAAAGCGATTTAGCCGGAAGTTAAAGGATAATAAGAATCGAAACTTATCCGATTTAGTGCCTAGACAGCGGAACCCTAATTCGCCGGATGATGGGAATATATTGCATTGTATTTCATAGTGGTACAGTCGGATGAGTGGAGAGATAACATTGGTTACGCCTTATTGGACCGGCCAGAACCTGACTCTACTCTTCCTGCTCACCATTGGGGGTCGCAGCTTCCAAAGGCCTCGACAGTCCCACCCGATCAACGGTACGCGTGTAAGCAACTCCTCCATTTACGCGATCCTCATGAACAACAAGGTCCTTGCGGTTAGTGTCGACGAGAAGACGAACGAGGTCAGGACGCATGTAATGTCCCCCCTGAAACAGTGTCAGTACAGCAGAAGTATTGGGGATCAGCGGGGGTCTTACGAAGTCAGCCAGGGACTTGGAGAGATGGCACTCATCCAAGTCAATCTAGTGCTCTGGTTAGCGTTTTTTTTTACCCTTGACTGAAGAGAGAAAATTGAAAAACTTACGTCAACAATCAGCAGACCCTGGAAGTCCTTGTCAGGGTGAGGAACAAGATTCTGTCCATCAGGGCCAAAGATACGGCCATGGCCATTGTAGATGTGGGGATCCTCCAGCTCCTTTCCGGGGGGCGTGTTCAGCTTGATACCCTCGGCGGTGATGCTTTGCCAAGGTGCCAGGGTGAAGGTGCCCGTCTCAATAGCATAGGCCGGAGTAACAATCTGCGCAGACTTCCATTAGACCTCAGACCGAGCGAGCGAGAGAGGCAGGGGGACCCGAATCGATCAGGTAGAGTATGACTTACGTCGGCATTGGCTTCAGCCACGTTGGTGAAGGGATCGGGGTACTTCAGCGTCTCCTTTCCGGGGTACAGTGGCCAAGCAGCAACGTGAACCTGCTCACCAAGAGAGGCAGCATACGCCTTCATAAAAGGGTTCATATTTTCCCAGCAGTTCAAGTGTCCCACACGGCCGATCTCGGTCTGGATAACAGACTCAGTGGTATCACCGGTACCATCTCCGAAGACCAGACGCTCGACGTGGGTAGCGCGGATCTTGCGACGGTGGTTCAGAATATCGCCGGTAGGAGAGATGAGGACTTGGGTGGTGTAAAGACTGGCCAGATCCAGTTCCGAATAGCCCAGAGAGACAAAGATCTTGTTGGCACGGGCTGCCTCACGGATCCGACGCATCTCCTCAGAGTCTGAGGGCAGACTGTTCTCGCGATACTTCTTGAGCAGTGGCAGACTCTCCTGGTAGTTCACCTTCCAGGCCCAGTATGGGTAGCCCGGGATCCCTGCGGCAGTTGTCAGACCATGATAAAGTTTCGGATATTCACAAAAAAGGGGAAAGATGCGTACAAAGCTCGGGGAAAGCAATGAACTTGCAACCAGCCTTTCCAGCTTCGTCGATCCAGTGAATAGTTCGCTTGACAGATTCTTCGAGGTCGAACCATCCTGGCTCAGCATTGACTGCTGCGGCCTTGTACTTCTTCAAAACTGGTGCCATTGTTTGATAAGAAGTGTCGATTTCACGGTGCTGGAGAAGCGATGTAAGTTACAATGAGATTTGCTGTTGCTGCTGTGGTTGATGATAGACGATGGATAAAGAACTTGAAGACTGTCGGAACGCTTCCTATTTATACCTGCGATTGCATGATGATATTCAATCCACGACCTTCACTTCACATCATGCAATTCGGTACCTCCGGCTGTCGGGTTTTGCTTTCACGATCTAGCATCTCTGTGGTATCCTACTGCGCACTTCCCAACCCTTCCGAAGATTTGACCGCGAGAGGGGCCTCATGACGATGCTCTTTCGGGATCTGTTCGTGCAAGAGGGGAGGTGCCACAAGGCGCTCAGACCTAGACCCTTTGTCAGTCACATCTCCATTCATTTGTAAGAGCAACCTACCTAACACAGTGGAAACCCTGCGCTCTGACTAATGTTTCACGATGCCCCTCAAGTTCAAATCCCGCCCCAACGCAGAGTACGACATGGCCTGACTCGCGCCTTTTGTACAGCGTATCAGAAATTATAACCTTTCTTAGATAGTACTAACATTCCCAACTAATCTTATCTTGACAAAATCTTGGGCTAGACACCCGTCGGGACTGCGCGTCGATCACCGTTGTTCCGAAGCAGAGCCCGTGGGGAACCAAAACCCTAACTCGGCCGACACAGATTGTCGGGATTCTCTAGATTATCTGTCCCGGTCCCAATCTACAACTTATGGCCTGCTACTTTCCCCATGTATACAGCAGCTAGTTGAAATAACCTAGACATGGGAACTTCGGCACGGCTAGCCTGTATGAAAAAAAATTGTTTCAGGTTTGTTGACAGCACTTTGTGGACAAACCTTTGATTTGGAAAGAAGGTTACATGGTATTCGGTTGCGGCGGCTATTCAAGGAGCTCATTCTGGATGTAACGCTTATTTGTCTCGACTACCCGAACGTGCAGAGGACTATCACAGCGTTCAAGACACGCAGACAATACGGCTTCTTCCAGAAAATATATATATATATTGAGTGTCAATAAGCATGAGAAGCTTATACGCAATCAAGAATACAACAACATCACAGTGCAACCCTATCAATACTGTTGGCAGATGAAGAGAGGTAGTAAGAGCCATGTCATCGTTTTTGCAAATATGAATAATATACCAGCGGCCAATGATATTAGAATTTCTTCAACTTCAGTCTTCTAGACCTTTCAGTGGGATGTTGAAGTGATCATGTAGAGATCATGGTTATTTAACATTGGGATTCTACCCTTTCACGGTTAGATTTATATCTAGATATATATGATTTCTTTTTATTTTATTTTTTTTATTCTTCATTATGCTGTGTCCAGCTCTAAATCTTCCTCGATACGAAGCGACTATTCGGTACCCCAGGCTATTCGTTGACGATTGAGCGATAAGCCCTAACTAGCCAAACCCTACCTATATGCATCAGATATACCAAGGACACAAACAACATAACCATTATTGCAATGGTTACCATAAATCCACTGTTATACTATTTAATTCGAACTGAACTGCCACTTGCCAGGTTTCTGACCAAGTCCTAGCTAAACGATCAACGACAGTCCGTCCCCGCAAATTTAAATTCTTTTGCTTTTCCCCGCAAACCTTCGTTCAGCTCCGTCGTCTTGGCTACCCAACATTTATTTAATCCTACACCACTCCACCAAAGCCCCTATTCGTCCGACCACCACATGAACGCGTGAGTCTATATGACCTGCTCTGATTCGTGGCACTAAGTAACCTTATCGCTGCCCATATTCGTGTTGCATCCCACGTTTTCTTGAGGATACCCAACGACAGTGAGCTCCGGAATGCCGAGGGTTATTTAATATCGACCGTGCTTTACGTTTCAACGCCCAGACGGAGACAAGGTGTCCTTCCCCTCCTTATCTCCATGGCTACGTCCTTCTAACTGGCTCAAGGATCAGCGCTCATGGAGGGTAACCGTAACGGCGAGTCCTTCGACACTCTCTCGGGATTCGTGGAATCTTTTGACCATCTTGGCCGTCTTGTTTTTCCGTGAGAGATGTCATCGCTCTAGATTTGCGTAAGAGGGATATGTGCTTCGTGTGATAGTAGCACCAGACGAGCTTCAGACCCTTCCTCTATATATTAGTTTGCTTTATTCCCGCGGTGATATCTTTTTTTAAAAAAATATCTCCTACTTCATTGTCTTATATGAGCCAGGATCGCGATCATCGTTGTGTCAGGCTTTGAAACGACGTGTCAAGCCACGTTTCGGTGACCGATCTGCTACTTCAACAGCAAAGCTCCCAGAGACTGACTTGATTCACTTTGACAAGATGTCAGGCATACTACGAAGACTCGTCCACAATGATGCGATGCGAGAGGACCCCAAGGAGATTTATGGATGGAGAGTGTACACACTGGCCTGTTCGGTTAGTCTTCTTCAACCTTCCGTTACCACAGAGACTGAAACATCTACAGGCTTGCTTCGGCGGCATGCTTTTCGGAATGGAGACCGGCATCATAGGAGGTGTTCTTACGATGGATCCGTTCCAAGTGTAAGTCGCTTTCATACCTCTAAATATCTAACTACACACCAATCGTTAACCTCATACCTATAGAAAATATGGGTTAAAGAACCTTGGCGATGTAGGAGAGGCCAATCTCTCCGCTAACATTGTATCCACGCTACAGGCAGGGTGCTTCTTTGGCGCCCTCATCGCCTCCCCGGTGGCAGACAAATGGGGCCGAAAGACAGGGTTAATATCTGCATCGCTAATTGCTATCGTTGGCGTTATCATGCAAGTTGCAGCAAGTGGACACCTGGAAGCCATGTACATCGGACGGTGAGCATCGCTCCACATACTGTTTAGGCCCTTAGGGCTAACAGAGCCCAACTCAGTTTAATCAACGGTTTCGGTGTCGGCTTCGCCTCCATGATCAACCCTCTCTATGTCTCTGAAAACTCCCCAAGAGCCATCCGTGGTGGTCTAACAGGCCTCTACCAACTATTCATCACAATGGGAATTATGCTCGCCTTCTGGATCAACTACGGCTCTACCCTCCACATCAAGGGCACAGCACAATACATGGTTCCACTTGCCATGCAGGCCCTCCCCGCCCTTCTTATGCTTGTGGGTATGCTCCTATGCAACGAATCCCCCCGTTGGCTCGCAAAACAAGACCGCTGGGAAGACGCTCGGAGGACGCTCTCCCGCGTACGCAATCTTCCCTCAACCCATCCGTACGTCGAGAACGAGTTCCAAGATATCGTCAACCAACTCGAGCACGAGCGCCAGCTCATCGGCGGTTCCGGCTTTTGGGACCTTATGAAAGAGATGTGGCTCATCCCCGGCAACCGCAAACGAGCCATGATCAGTATCTTCCTCATGGTCTGCCAGCAAATGACCGGTACGAACGCTATTAACTACTACGCACCACAGATCTTTGAAAATCTAGGCATCACCGGTACTACGACAGGCCTGTTCGCCACAGGAGTGTACGGAATCGTAAAGATGGTGGCATGTGCCGTCTTCCTAGTCTTCGTCGCCGATTCTTTGGGCCGTCGACGCTCTCTCCTCTGGACCTCCGTTGCCCAGGGTCTCGCCATGCTCTACATCGGGTTGTATGTCCGCATTGCGCCCCCGGTCGAAGGCCAGCCCGTCATCCCCGCTGGCTATGTCGCTCTCGTCTGTATCTTCCTCTTTGCCGCGTGCTTCCAGTTCGGTTGGGGCCCCGTCTGCTGGATCTATGTCTCTGAGATTCCGACTGCCCGACTGAGAAGTCTGAACGTCTCCTTGGCTGCCGCGACTCAGTGGCTGTTCAATTTTGTCGTTTCTCGAGCGGTTCCCAACATGCTGGCAACCGTTGGTGCTAACGGCTACGGGTTAGTTTCCTTTCCCTCTGTGTATCACATCTTCTCGACATCTCATCTATATAAACGAAAATACGTTCTGGACCCGTTAATAAGATTCAAATAGGACGTACATCATTTTCGCCTGTTTCTGTTTCTCAATGGGAGTGTGGGTTTGGTTCTTTATACCCGACACTAAAGGTATTCAATGCAACGCCCCCTACTCATCCTGCATACCGTTGTTATTTAGGGGGGACTGACTTTTCTTTGATAGGTCTCTCGCTGGAGAAAATGGATGAGCTCTTCGGTGCTACCAGTAGTCCTACTCATTTGAAGACTGAAGATGTAGAGAGGAGTGTGTCCCAAGCGGAGGGTGACCACAAAGATGAAGTTGCTACAGAAACTCGGGTGGAGAGGGTGTAATATTGTCGGCCTTCTTTCTCTTTCCCGCCCTTGTGGATTGCTTGGTGGTCAGTTTCGATATGGTCATAGTTGTATAGGTCAATTGGATGATTGTAGACTTAGTAATGTTCTGTCTAGTGAACGTTCAGGCCGTTTAGACTATTTAAGCCCGCCGTACCCTACAACGGTTGATGTATAATCCTCAAGAAAAGGATCTATTCATCTAGTAGTAATGGTCTAGTAATTCTAGTCGTCTAATCATCCAATCGTCTAATCGTCTCTTCAGGTATAATTCACAAAAAAAAAGCATGTCCCAAAATGAAAAGAAAAGAAAAGAAAAAAAAATAGAGAAGACCCAGAAAAGGCCCAGCAAAGACTAGACCCAAATCCAATCCAAACCAAAAAACACAACATGATATACCCATGTCGACCCCAATCCACCGACATATCGTGCGGTTGTGGGTTGGTGGGCGGGCTTGGGGTCCCCTTGTGGGACAAACCCACAACCGCACGATAGAGGAGTTCGATGGAAAGGGGCGATGGATGATGGAAGACTGGCCATATCGATACTGATTGGCCTTGCGGAGGCTTGGCAGGCCAGGAGAAGGACTGCCAGGAGGAGGATAAATGTGATGGTGCTCATTTTGGTTGTGAAAAAAGAAGAATGGCATTGTAGAAGAGATTCCTGATAGTGACAAGTATGTCAATGATGTCTTAATTTGCTTGCCATCTTGGTGGCTGTTGGACCCATCGGACATGGATCCTCCGGGCACATTTGGGTATTGCCCCTGACAGCATGGTCAGAGTTCCTTCAGGATATCAAGTGTATAATACCATTAGGACGCTGCTTGGAAGCACTCAGACTCAAAATGTGCTGCCTTTGGTACGAGCTCCTCGTGGGTATTTCCAGATTTGCGTCTCACAGAAATACCCAGTCCTCAGCAATACATCAGCACATAGGAGTCTTTCTCTGTCATGGTGGGCTTTTCCATACAAAAATTCAAGGGGGCCTCTTGTGGAGGCCAGAAGATACTTCGCTTTGTTGTCAATGACACTTCTGAAAGCCACTCCAAGCACTCGCTAGGGCTATACGCTTGTTCCAATTTATCTTGTACCCTGATGGTATTGAATGTGTCACGGATAGCAGCCTCATCTCGCCAGTTATTCTGAGAGATTTGAGGTTTAGGCAACCTATCTTCCCACCCTTCGCGGGCTTGGTTTTGTTGCCGTTATCTTATTTTGTTGTAAAACCATATGCCGATGAATATCCCGGCAAGTAGAGAAACGCCTATAGCGAGTTCAACTGCTAGTCCGGCTCTTTGTGATGCAGTTGGATTCTCGAAAACGCAGTTTAACCCAGTATTGATTGGACTTATGGAGGTTGGACAGCCTATAATGAGGGCTACAAGGAGGATAACAAGGATGTTGGTGTTCGTCTTGATAATGGGCTCAAACATATAAAGGTGAACCGCGAGTCGAACCGTGCAGCATACATACTTCGGTCTTTTAGACTGAACTGCCCCTGATGTTGTCTTCGTTTAGGTATTTGGTGTAGTGCGATCGGGGCCGGTAGCATATACATAGTAGCCCAGCCACTTTACTGTTAAGATGCTCCACGAAGCCACTCTTCACAAGCTTGCTTCTCTTGTCATTTTCTTTGTTTCTTGGAGTGAAGCCATGTACGGATGGCTATTATGGCAAGAAGAGGTCCACCCACAACCAGCAGGAAGGGGTAAAGGTACACAATTTCGACTTCAACAAAGTGAAAACAGCTTGATAGGACAGCACTGATGACAACGGGTTCAGCCCAGGTAAAGGAATTGAGGCAGTTGTTGTAGTGAGTTGAAGGAATGGTATGGAAGGATAAAAGGTCAGGAAGTGTTGATTGTGTGTTGGTCATGTGCCTGTCTATTTAGGTCTACAGTAAAGGCACCTACCGTCAGGGGTGGACAAGTTGTTGCTCCTTCTTAGGAAAGGTCGACTGGTTGGGATTTACTACTGCGGACTATGGATTAGTACTAGTAGAATACCTGCCTAATTATAGAATAGATTCGGCATCCTTATTTGTTAGCTTCTGCTATACTAACACTGTTCGTTCAGGAAGGACTGTATTTACTTTCTTGTTAATACCAACCGCAAGGATTCTCATATTTATAAGGATCACGTAAATAAAGATGTTACTTATACACACACACCGTTAATTGGTAAGACTGTTAAACTATCCTGGCTCCAGTATTAACTGCTGCAGCTTTGTCTTTCTTTGAAGAAAAGGAAAACTGGTCCTATTTTATTGTGATTCTAGACAGTCGTAGAGTTCATATTGAGCCGAGCGAGGCCTACGAACCAACAAAATCACATTATAATAGGGGGAGGTACTGATTTCCCAGTGTTAAAGAAGTAATATAAGATAGAGTAAGCTTTGGTATTGCTGCTATAGCGAATAATGGATAAATGATCGTCAAAACACTTCCTATGTACACCTATATACAATCGCTTGCTAATATTCAATCCCTAAACTTCACATCACATCATGCAATTAGTACGCCCGGCTGTCGGGTTTTACTTTGTTCTGATATTCTCACGCCCGGGGAAGCGCCGCAGCTTCTGAGTTTGACTCCGGGTCATTCGCCGGGAAGGTTCGTCGTCAAGGCTAAGTCCGCCGATTCCGGGTCCGAGTTCGGACCTTCGTGGTGATAAGAACGCGTCGCTGCCGCTTCGTCCATAGCGAATATTCCGAATTGTAGCATTCGTGGCCGTAGTAGCTGTCGTCACCGTAGTTTCGGTGTCGGAGTCACGGTCCAGCGGGTCCGACACGTCGGATTCGTCGCCCTTCAAGCTCTTCAAACTGAAGCTATAATCCTGGTGGCCGCCATCATATGATGGAAACGGATGATGGCGCCGAGCTTCGGGTGTATGAGCTGAAAAGCTAGATCCAGTCACAGTCGAAGAGAAAGAAAGCGGCGGCACAGATTGCTGCGTGGTGAACGACTGAAGTTCTTGACCGCTGCTATTCTCGAGCCTAGGGGATGTGCTGGGGAGGCCGGCGGGTGGTGGCTGGGTTTGGTTCGCTTGCAGCACTTGCTCATTGCTGATGGCCGACGAGAAACGATACAGAGAGAGTAACCCTAAAGCCTCTTGAACTGTCATAAATACCAAAAGGAGCTTTCCGTATCTGTCGAAGTAGTGTCGTTCGTAAGAAACCTGCGGCAGATTTCCTCCAAGATGAACTGCTGCCACGAGCTCTGCAAAATAAACAAGAATTTCCATGCCGTTCCACTGAGCGAGAGGTTGTTTCAGGGCTTCCAGTAGCGCGAATCCGGCAATAAGACTCGCACTACCCAAAGAAGCCACTTCAATACAATCACCGGGTAGAGAGATATGGCCATACTGTGATACGAGCCAAGCAACGATAGAGGATATAAGCAATCCCAGTCGGAGATACTGAAAGATAAAATAACTATGCAAGTCAACAGACTGGTGGGGACGAGCACTTGTTGTCTGCTGTTGCGATTGCCATGTGCCGTGGTCCTCATCCTCAGGCGATTTGATGGTGAAAGCTTTATCAAACAAACTTTCTAGCCCAGTTGAGGCAGCATGATCACTCATGGGGAAGAACTTCGGGGGTGCAAATGCAGTATCAAAGGGGCCATTGTTCCGCGCCCAGGGGCTTGAGGATTGACCTGGAGTACGGTGGAACGGATTGCGCTCAACAACCTGTTCGATGGGTTTCTGGCGCTGAGCAGGCTGATTACGCAGATTCCATGACGGAGGTTTAGGAGCGGCAGGTAGAGATCCGTAGAATGGCAAAGGCCCATCGAGAACAGATTTCCGCTCTCTCTGGTGCACGCTCACAGTAGGCGTGACATTATGCTGCACCGAAGGTGTCCAATCCATATCGTCTCCTTCCGGAGGAGGGGTAGGAAAAGTTGGCTCCTCAGGAACAGGCCGAGGTGTCGCTAGCTTTTCGAGAGGAAAGCGTGGTGTGCCCTGTTGGAGCCTTTCGTTCGGGCTAGTGGGAAGTTGTTTGCTTCCAGTGGTATAAACGGGAGGCTCGCCACGTCTACGAATTGGGGTTGCTGCCGGAGTATTGTCGGTCCAATTTACCAAAGGGCGAGTGTCATACTGCGCAATGCGCCGAGAAAAAAGAACAGACTAGACTATTGTGAGTTTGATGCCGTTTAATTTCCATGGTTAGCAAGTGAGCGAGACATACCAAAGCAGTGAAAATGAACATAAACGTATGCAAGGTCGGGGGAAGTTGCGATTGTAAACCACTTGACGAAGGGTCTCTAAGCAAAGCCCAAAAGACACATCGCACCACCATGACAATGAGTTGGACTTGGTAGTATTCTCCTAGACCGACGAAGCGGCCAGCTCTCCCTTCAACCTTGAAGCGCAGTTTCGGGTTATACCAGGCAGAAAGTATGCCTGCTACAAGAGACAGGCCGGCATAAGGTGCCAGATCAACGAAGCAATAGCTTGGCATGAGGCGCGTCTCCAACGTTTGTTGGACACACGTTACAATGGATGCTGGTGTAAGAAGATCATCCGGGTCCCGTAGTAATTCATCAGAAGCTAAAGCACCCATTAGATTCCAGGAGAGTTGGCCAGCAACACTAGCCCAGTAAGTCATGGCGCCAGCATAAAGCAACAAGCTCCTCCAATTCCATTTGCGTGCATGTCTTGCTGCTCTTCCCGCTTTGCTACGATCCATCATACGTCTCAGGTGGTCTGATTTTGCCTCGTATCCTGCCTGGCGGATGCGATCTTTCACCCTGGGCTCACATTTGGCGCATACTTGCGGGTACCGTTCTTCAAGGTTCTTACGGAATTTCGGATATTCTTGTTCATATGCGCCATAGTTTGGATCGTCTGTTGGCGGGAAATATGCGGCGAGAGCACTCGTGAAAAGATGCTGATTTCGGATACATTGCGCGCAGAATAGACCGGATCCCGTAATATCAGTCGAGTCGAAAGGGGTGCTCGATACATCCGAGCCGTAAGCATTAGGATTTGTATCTGCTGCTGGAGGGTCCGCGATTTGTCCTTTCTATCATGGTTGCCGAGATGGTTAGCAAGTCTTTTAGAAACGCGAAAAAAAAAAAATAGAAAAGAAAGGGCCTACTTCATCCAGGTAATTTATTGCCTCACAAGCGTTACAGCGCCATTTGCGGATAGGGCCTTTTTCAGTCTGTGCAGACCGTCTCCCGCAATAGAAGCAAGTTATTCGCTTTGCGAAGAGAGGAGCCATCTCATGTCCGAAGTGTTGACATTGATAGCGGGAAGGTTGTTGATGGAGCAACAACCTCCCATCTAACAATGGGCAGGAGTTAAGACAAAATAATCGCCGAGTCGCACGGACCACGTGCCCGATCATCACCCGCAGCGTTGGTTGAGGGACAAACAATTAAACATTTCTACACAAGTGCTGGATTTTGTTCAGTTGTTGGTACATGCCGTTATTAGCCTCGTCTTGGTTGTTAACTTAAACAATAGAGAGCGTTAACAATAACGCCAATCAATTGACCGTGCTATACCATTACTGAGGATTGTTGTTACTTATCTGTCAACAAATGTTACTGATGACGCCTGCAGCTGCAAACTAACATACGTTTGGTTTCTTTGATTGTATTGCCAGGGTCCATTGATAGCTTTCAATGTCGGAGACGATACTCCTGACGCAGTGGCCTCTGAGAAGCCTACTTTGGATGTTCAGCATAGGAATTGTGGTTGGTGCATCAGCATTCATTGTAAGCCCATAGTGTTGACATACATCTAACCATCTCTCTTCATCCGTGACTAATACTCATACCTTCCCTTGCAGATCTTCATCTATGCCCTATACACATCACAAAATACTAACATTCCTAAATGGCGCTCGAAGAACACCCCAACCCATCTTCTCGTTGTCTTAGGCAGCGGCGGACATACGGCCGAAATGTTCTCCATGTTACGACGTATAAAGCTCGATCCGTCTCAGTATACATATCGCACATATGTTGTGAGCTCGGGGGATAACTTCAGCACCACGAAGGCAGTAGAGTTCGAGACTCAATATCTCAATCACGTCCGAAAAGCAACTGCGACCGACTGTAGCCCAGCAGAATCTTACACTATTGTGACTGTGCCGCGCGCACGTCGTGTACATCAGTCATTTTTGACGGCACCTCTTTCAACCCTCAGATCTTTCTGGGCATGTCTTCTTGTCTTGCGTGGACAATATGCTGACCAAAAGCGGCTTCCTTCATCAATGGTTTCGCCGTATCCGGATGTGATTCTTACGAACGGTCCTGCTACGGCGGTTTGCGTTATACTCGCTGCTAGGCTCCTCCGTCTCTATAGTTTCATCAGAGGCTTCGTTCCATTCAAAACGGCCTTGGGAGGTGAAGATTTAGCACCGACTGATTACCAACTCCGTACGATTTTCATAGAATCATGGGCCCGTGTGACAACTTTGAGTCTATCGGGTAAGATACTATTACCTTTTGCTGATCGTTTCCTCGTTCAATGGCCTGGACTAGAAGGAAGAAGAGCTTGGAAAGGCATGAGAAAGACGGAATACGTGGGCATGCTTGTGGATTGAATTTGGCCCATGTTGTCCCGCGGCCATTATTTATCTCTTCTCAGTGTATTTATGTGTGAGTATACGCGAAAGTCATTTGTGAACAAAATTAGGAATACTCGTCTACTCCTTAGCACTAAGAACCGAAACAAGGGTGGAATGGCGTGGCGATCGCTTTCTTCGACCTTTCGATTTATATTGTGAGGGGCTAAATCGGCTCAGAATTCAAACTCGGCCATAGGAATGTCTAGTCAACAGCCCCCCCTCCCATTTGGCCATAGAAAGTTTTTATGATCCAGTTTTCTACTGAAGGTTAGGGATGTCCCGCAAAATCAAATATTAATCAGTGTTAGCGTCAAAAGCAGGGCTAGCATTAACAATAATATTGGTATCTTGACGTCAGTTATACAAGTCAGTTGTACAGTCAGGAGCCGCACTTTTTTTCTTCCCATTTGTGTCTTCATTGCAGAGGATTGTAGAATGGAGTATAGTCTGAGCCGTTCGAGGGAAATGTTCGATCACCAACCATCCGCGCCTTGAGAGCGGCGCGAAGGGCGTCCGCATTCTGCTCGCCCTCGACTTTCATTTGGTTGATGCGGAGAAGTTTGCCATCTTGTGTGAATACGTAGACACCTTTTCCTTGTCGAGACTCAATGGGATGAGCGCCATCCACAAAGGGTAGGCCTGGGACCACAGCATACGCTTCGCTCCCTTTCATCGGTTCAACTTCCTCCATCTCGGTGAAAATCACCCGCCGGTAATGAAAGGACGAAGGGTTAACTGTAGCATCGTTGCTTACCAAAGCCTTGCTCCATAAAGGCCCCAGTACACGAATCCGCCTGCTGATATCTAACCAGGTCCAATTTGCCCAGTCGATATGGCGGTCCTCAGGCTTGATCTTAGCTGCATGTATCAAGGATTCATGTTCTTCTGGAGAACGCCACCCGGCATCGTGTACCGGAGGAACGAACAGACCCTTTCGGATACCGTCGACAAGAATCTCGGCTCCCTTGGGAGCAACAAGGTTTAAGAGTTCTGGCACGGTACATGACTCGGGCTTTGGGATCTCGAATCCGGGCGGCGAGGTCTGCTGTAGAATGACGCCGTGGTCGAAGTGCTTGAAATCCAAGGTCTGCAAAGTGACCCCAGTCCTAGTTCTGCCAGCCAAAAGAGTGTGATGGAGCGGAGCGGGACCACGGAAGCTGTTGTTTGCGAATTAATTACCGGTATGACACTCTCGACCGTTTACTTATACTCACTCAGGAAGTAAAGAAGGGTGGACATTTAGACCCCCATACTTTGCGCCATGGAGAATCCGTGGAGGCACAAACAAACCGAAGGATACTGCTACTATAAGGTTGACGGGACCCCCAGGCAGTACAGGTGGCTAACAGAGTCAGTAACACTTCAGGGCCCCGAGATTGTCTCTATAATACCGTCCATCCTCTGAAGGTGTCTATCTCATGAACCGGGAGCGAAAGGTCGGTTGCCGCAGCTTTGATAGGAACTATCGAAAGAAACGTAAGTCTAGTCCCTTATATCTTCGACTTGTGGAGGTAGGTACCCTCGCGTATTTTTTTCAGGCCTCTTCCAACCCTTTTACCCGGTCTGCAAACGACATCAATGGAGGATATTCGATCTGGTCGATCCAGATGTTCCTTGTGGAGAGCTTTCAAGGAAGCTATGCTGAACTCATCAGAGCCGCAAAAGAGTATTCGGAGGGGCTCATAGGTCCTTGTCGCAAAAAATCGATGTGCGAAATATCGGCTAGTTCCAGCGCGTCTGTATATACAGAGCGCCCCGGGGCCCCGCGGAAGAAACATGGCGTGGGAGCATACCTACTTCATCGGCTAAGACTAAAGCTCCGGAAAGCTCCCCGAACACTCGAAAACACTAACACGTGATGTCACCGCATCACATCCAAGTCGATCAGCGACATACTCCCCCACCTTTGACCATTGCACCAGCTGACTGTGAGTTACGGTTCATGATATAATGATGCGATGTCAGGGAGCGATCTTGCTTCGGTAGTCCCGGCGCAACTAGCATATCTAACTATATACAACCCCCTCCTTGGACCGACCGACGAAACGATACAGGATCAAGTCGTCTTTTACACTTCCAGACCGGATCGACTGCGACGAAGCGGACGCTCTACGACTGAAAATGAAAACAAAGAAACCAATGATGGGTGGAACGTGAGACTGCGCCAGATAGGACTGGCGCAGGGCATGGTGAGCTTCGCCAGGTGGGGACCGCTGCTCTAACACCCAACAGAACTATACTGAACAATCGGTATAGGAACTTTTCAAAAGGGCAGGCAGTCGACTACGTGGAGACAGACAAGTCGCTTATTGTGCTACATGAACTCGAAAAGAATTGGTGGGTCTTAGCTGTAAGCTTGGCCTTGAAGAACATGCCATGACGATAGATACTGAGATTGCTATAGTCAATTGACCTGACTAGGCTTCCAACCCACTCTTCCAGTGGACCTTCTTCGCAGCGCGATGCTTCAGAGGCTTCCTCTTCTCATTACTCTTCACGAGAGATGTGTCCTCCCCATCATCTGATTCAGCAACTACGCCGAGCGCATTCCATTTTCCTTCTTCATCATGATATCACACTTGACGCTTTATACGAACGTGTTGGCAGGTCCACACTCTGCCCCCTCCTAGAGAACTTCTGGTTGCGATTTGCCTGGAACTGGGATATTCTTCTCAGTGGAAACCCTGCTGTGGATGTGTATAATGGCATAAAGCTTTCTGCTGGCGGCGAGCTGGGCATTGGTGTCGGCGAGGAAGAGTGGGGAAGCGGGGAGAGGGAGGTATTTGAAGACTTTGTGGCACGGACAGATGGCCTTCTGGATCTAGTGGTGTCTCGATTTGGTGATCCGACTACGCCTGGTGAGTATGCTGCAATCGCAAATAAATCAACAGATACCATGCGCGATGACGATGGAACGCACTGGCTTGGTTTAGACATATGTCCTCGACCATCAGACGGTGTTATATTCTCAGGTGTAGGAACTATCTCCAGGTCTTCTGTGGTGCGCATCTCACAGTGGATGGAGTGGATCTACAGATACGGCATCGACGCGTATGGGGTGGGTGAAGACCCAACATCACCACGACGTCGAAAACACCGAAGGAAACAACGAGGTCGCTCTGGAAGAGATCCAAATGCAGTACCACAAGTTAGAGAAATTCCCCAAACTAGAGACACAGATGGCAGTTTCTCTCCAGGTATACCACGCCCACTGGTGATGGGGACGACACAATCAACGCAGCCTCCACAAGGGTCTGATGGAGTAAGTCTACAATCTAGCGGCGAAAGCTCCCCAGCAAGAAGTGAGAAAGGCAGTGATTGGATGGGTGTGACAACTGGTGCATTTGTGAAATACCTCACGCTCGGATACGGTTCGTCCTGGAGCATGTCTAGGACATCGAGCGCACATCCCCGCGTTGAAGCACTGAAGCGAGAAGACGACTCAGCCAACTCGAACAAGCAGACAGGTCCACCTACAGATGGTCAGGGGGGATCGGAAGAAAGTCCTTCTCTACCTGAGGATCCTCCCAAACCTGAAAGCCGTGGTAGATTTCTCATTGGTTTAAAAAACGAGACAGCGAAGGGAGATAGTAAGTCTTTGGAGACTGACCCAACAAACAAGAAATCAAAGGATAGAATAAGTCAGAGGACGTTACATATGTACTTGGCAAACCCATCAGAAGATAACCCATCAGGTCGGTACTACACTGCATCACTCTTTTTGATCTCAATGCTAAAACCGATTGACCTCTAGGCACAATACAACAACGAGCAGTAGTCTACATAGTAAGTCATTCTTCTCTTCCATCACATTCCTGAGCATTCACTGACGAGGAAACAGCACAAACCTTTCATCTATACTTTTCTGTTCGACCCTCAAGCTTCGTCTCTGGGAGACCCAGCTCTCTATCACAGTATCCACCACCAACTACAACCTCTCCAAGGGTCACTCAGCAAGTCAACGTCACCTGCAAATGCCACAGCCAGAATCTCTGTATCTGGAAATGCATTTGATATCAATCAACGATTCTCATCCGAGAATCTACCGTTTTACGATCTTGTCTACGACCCAACCAATCTAACAATCCGCTCTTCAATCCCCAACATCCCTGACCTCGGTTTCTCCCCTGTAGAAGCTCCGCGGGATCCCAGCGCAACACCCTGGTCGCGTGTCGAAAGCCTCAACATCCACCACCGCTTACTGAGCACCTACATAGAAACCCGATCCCGACCGCTCGAGCTAGAAAGAACCTGCAAAACAAGTCGTGGCTGGTGGATTGTTTGGGTGCGAATGTCCGACCCATCGTACAAACCCACCAGTGACGATAGTAGCACCTCTCAGCCCGACGACCCTCGCCAGGAGGCATTCCTAATCCGGAAGGCAAGTGACCATGCCTCGACGTCTTCGCACGCTCGCAGCCATAGCGGGACTCGGTTCTTCAGGGATCTGGGCGGTGCGTCTTCGCCGGGACTATCGGATATGGGGCCGGCCAGGTTGGCTGAGGGGTTGGGGCTGGATGCAAGGCGGTATATTGAAAGTTTACTCAATCTGAACCGATGATTCTATGAAAAGATACAGTCTTTGTCGGTGACGGTCGGTATTTATTTTTATGTTTCTCTTGTTTTCGAATGACGTGGAGGTTGTAATATTGAAATTAATACTCTGTGACGATTTTTTTTTTTTTTCAAAGGAGCACCGCCTATTCTTATAGGGTATAGAATTATGTACATGTCTTACTGCCCCCGAAGCAGTAGTACTAGTACAATTAATGGATGGAAGAGGGAGGGACCAGTTTTCTCTAGACATCAAGCCTTGTCAATCAAGTCCCCGCCTAAGGAACTAAATTAAGGATAGATATATCACTTCAATTCTCCTGTGTCAGTCTAATTCAATTCCTTTTTCCCCTATCGGACAGGAGGTAGCTGCCAATTCCATAATTAGGCATGCTGGACTAATGCAATCCTGCGTAGTCTAAGGTGCTAATGCTAACGGGCCGCCCACATGTTACTATCAATAGTACGATCTTACCAATAGTTGACACCTCTTCCTGTAATGGAACGCGATACCAAGATTTTCCGGTATTTCTACTGATAGGTAGTCCATACGCCGTACCATACCCCAAGGCCTTAAGGGTAACGCATGTGCTTGATGCATTTCACGAAATATGTATCAGCGGATAAGATAGCACACAGGGTACAATGATATCAGAAGAACCATGCAGATGCAAATCGCAGAGGAATAGGATGTGCATTGATTAGTAAATAATAAGTTGAGGGGGTGATGGTGTTCGGTTTCCCATCAAGGCTCTGATGATCAAGGGAATAGCGTCAAGGAACTGGCCAAAAACCAAAGACAAAATGAATCCATGCATTCTCTTAACCGAAAGCAACACACAAAGAAATAAAGAACTCTGCTGGGGATATCCGAAGTGATAGGAATCATCTATCGTGTCACAGAAATTTCGACTTTCTTTATCAACCTCCCGGAGATCCTTGACTGACGGGAGACACACACGAGACAACGCCATCCTCAATAGCTCATTTCCGATCTGCACTATCCAGGTACTGATGGCCCTGTTTTCCTGCCAGCGAAATGGCCATCCTGCCATAGTGATCGAACCGCCTCGTAGGCGTACGGAGAGCTGGAAAAGAGAAGAAAACCCACAAGGTTATGAAGACAACGCCTCCCTAGAAATAAAATAGAAGAAGTCTGCAAAACAAGAAAGTCGACCAATAGCATAGCCAGATAATCCCATAACCCTCATGTGCCCGTGATTGAACATTATCCACACTCGCATCCAGGCACAGATCGGAACACGCCAACGGAGGACCCCTTTCTGAGTAAAAGAAAACACCAAATAGTCGAGACCCTTATCCGTTCATATAATCTCCGCATTAAACACAGACCTTTTGTGAAGGAGACGAAACTAGTTTACAGGATGGTGCACCCCTTCTTCTTCTTGTGAGTCTTGGTCAAGAGAGCAGCCCGGGTGGCGGCCTCGAAGACCTCACGGACACCTTCGTTGGTTCGTGCAGAGCATTCGAGGTACTTGTAGGCTCCAATCTTCTTGCGAACTTCCTCACCCTGAGAGCATGGTTAGCAGTACTCTAGTATTTTTACGTTTATGGGGTACGTACCTGTTCGGCGGTGACAGGCTTCTGGGAGGTCTTGGTTAATTCTTCAATAGTCTTGGGGTCATTGCGAAGATCCTTCTTGCATCCGACGAGAATGATAGGGAGTCCCTGGCAGAAGTGAAGCACTTCGGAAATCCACTGAGTTCATCGTTAGTTATGCACACATTCTTCGTCGCAGTGAGAGCCCCTTTTTAGGATTTCTCTGCTTCGCAAGATGCGGAATCAAGAGCAACTCACCTTCTCTTGAACGTTGTCAAGGGAATCGGGCGAGTCAACCGCGAAGCAGATCAAGATGACGTGAGAGTCGGGGTACGAGAGAGGGCGGAGACGGTCATAATCTTCCTGACCAGCCGTATCCCAAAGAGCGAGCTCGACACGCTTGCCATCAACCTCGACATCGGCAACATAGTTCTCGAAGACAGTGGGGACATAGACCTGAAGAAGATAAGGGTCAGTTTGACGCGTTCGGGTCGAATAAGGAGATGCCACAGATCGGGTTGCATATCCGGTGATAACTAACCTCAGGGAAGGTACCCTTGGAGAAGACACTGTACAAAGCATGTCAGTCAGCAGTCTCTTCTTGTTTAGACACACAGACGTAGTGTGGATGGAGGTACACTTACATCAAAAGACAAGTCTTACCACAGGCACCATCACCCACGATGACAAGCTTGCGACGGATTTCGGCCATCTTCAAGTGAAAAGGATCAGTAAATGATGGAAACTAGGATTATCAAATGGAATAGATTCCAAGTGAGGTGAGTGGCAAACAACAGGGAAAGAAGGGGAAGCTGTTGCGGGAGTTAAGTTGGATGGCGGAGAGGAGGTAAGAAGGCTGAGAAAGGGACAAGTCAGGCGCCCGAGGAAAAGGGTTATCACATACGGTGCAGGAGCAACGGCACTGATTAAATTATAGGGAGAGGGAAGAGAATAAAAGTAGTCAAAAAGGAAAACAAATGGTTTGAGTCGGGAGAAAGAGAAATAAGGAAACAAGAAAAGAAATTTAGGATATGGGTTCAGTCAAAGGACAATAACGGGATAATAGTCTCCAGGGGAGCTTAAGATGAAGGATAATTGATGGATGGGGTGGTGGAAGACAGTGGTAAAAGGGTAACGGGACTGTATGGGAGCGAAGGTTATCGGTGTTGGTTTCTTCTCTCGTTTGGTTCCCCCGGTTGGCCTTTCAGGTGAGGCTCCCTAAGTTGACTAAGTAACCAAAAACCAGACTAAAAAGCGCTGAAACGGTTAGCAACAAGCGATATTTTACACAGATAAAAAAGGCTATGTGGCTGTGCTTTTGTTTCTCTTGCTTCCTTTTTTTTTTTTTTACTCCCCTATTTTTAATTTTCTAAATTCCTTTTTTTAACCTGCGAACTTTGTTTCCTACCTGACACTAATGGAGAGGAGAAAAAAATGGTACTTCCTCTTCTCTAATAAGAAAAACATAAGTAAAGCAACAGGGATTTACTTTTTTCCTCACGATCCCAAAATCATTCTACTTCCCTCCCTATTCACATGTTGGTATCTTGGGTGCCTAGTTTTCTGTCGGCTTTCCATCCTTATTGAAGCCACCGTGGCTGGTCATACAATTGGTTGTAATTCCAGTACCGTATGGAAGTAGCACTCCATCCGCTTACCGCCTTTGCAGGAAGTACTGAGAGGTATGTAATTTAATTTCAAATCCATTTTGAGTTACGAGCTTTCCAATCCCATGACAATTTTCTATCTCGGGAATCTTTCATCCACCCACTTAATTGACCCGATCCACCGGAGATCCCAAATCCCCTTTGACGGTCGAACCAATGTTATCGGTTCCGATATTGGTTACATTGATCATTGAAGCAGAATAATTCATACAGCCACCGAAAAACATACACATATATATCTGTACTACATACTGTACTCGAGCTTAGGAGTACTAATTGCGTGGACACGTCAATCCTTCAATTATAGTTGGAGCCTAGACACACGGTGGACACCTTGTATGCTCGGATTTATCGGTTATGGCTCCATTCTTAATATTAGTTCTCCTATAGGTATTATTAGGGACATGATTCGCTTGACAAAAGTCGGATACGCGAAATACATAATACATAGGTAGCAATAATCGATAACACCATGGTACTAAGTACATACTTCCCTAAATAATCATAAACCGTGCTCACGAATGATGGGCCAAAGGGAAAGAAACATGACCAGATCGTCATAATTGCAACTTCTCACTCCATCGATGATAAGCAATCATGCTCTTATCAAGGCAAACCTATTGTTCAATGGCATCATTCAACTTAAACACCCCGGGTCCTGCGGTAGAGGACCTTACAGAGCTTGTCTTGCTTACTCCGTACTAGCAGTAGACCGGACCAAAGTAGGACTCCATACGGCGTACATGTGCATACTATGTACATATGAATCACATCATAATTGTATGGGTCTTTGGGGGGTGTACAATACGTGGCGGTGCACTCCTAGCTGCGCCCACCCCTTAAAACTACCGTAACCCGGATACTATATACTTACTCCGTACTAGTCCCAGCAATTCAATACAAACTTTATACACCTCACGTGTTCATTATATGAAACTACTCCGGGGTAACCTCTCCTCCTCTTCTGGCAATTTTGCTTGCAAGTGCGAAGGCTTCCACAGAACGATGTCATATATTCTCACAAGCGGTCATACCAGCCACCACCCAGGTCCGCGCTTATTACCGGCTTGTAGAAAGGCCTCAGCCACGGTTAAACCCAGTGCAGTGAACGCCTTGCAGCAAGTGCGGATATCTTTCTCACTACCTTTTATCTGGGAAACAGTTGTGACTCAGTCCGATATGCAACCATGCTGGTTGGTCCACCTTTCTAACTGACTGTGGGGATTCATTGGGCCGTCCTTGCCGGCATTGTTACTCTTTGGATCAATGATGATTCCATAGTACATTGCCGCATACAGCCTATGCAGCACTCGACAAGAATCCTGACAATGTGACTGACGCAATCAATGGTGATCACGCCTCTGTATATACTGTCTAACTGCATCAAGCATTTGCTCTTTCACCCGTGACATCATAATTGTCACGGATTTTGCAAGGCTAGATGGGAAAGCTCCTGGGGATGATGTAAATTATTTGTCTCTTGATCATAAAAGAACATTGCCCTGGGCAACCCGAAAAAAAAGAAAAGAAAAGGTTTGACTCGTCTTACGACTCCTAAATGACCAGGACCAGTCAGCCTTGCACACACGGTAAAGAGTGCATATGCATACTTTCAGCTGAAGGTGGAATCTGCAGAAAAGCCTAGCTGACGAGACTCCCCTGGAATTCGATACAAGTCCCTATCGAAAGCTTCCAACCCAAAAAGGAAAGACAACAAGAAGGCCTCGTTGACATACAACAAAGCCATAAAGCAATCTGTGATACATTTATGCCTGCCTGGGTGTGGTCCGGACCTAAGGGATAGTTTGTGGCGCTGGAGTGGATATACTCTCCGGCAGTGAGGCTAGACCATTCTTCATAGCTCAACATATCCGAAGTGCCGCTGGATTTCCCAGATCCAGGCCCTAAAATTCCTGCGCCCAAGTAACTCTTGTCCTTACAAACATAGCATTCACTTCTAGGACCCAGAAGCCACTTGGCGTTGCTCAACTGACCTGTCCAGGACACAAATGTAGGGGGAGGCTAGACCTCGGAAAGGGGTCGTTACCTTATTGTCGATATTCAGTACTCTAAGCTACCCTGGAGGCAAGTTTTCATGCATCGAAATTGTAGGAAGTGTACCGTTTCTTTCTCCCTCGTATGCAGCGTCACTGGCGGTAACGCATCCTCTGATATCTTTTTGACTTGCTATGTCTTTCTCGAGAGGTATTCATACGGTACGACCGTGTTGTTTCTAGTTATGGGGTAACGCATTAAGTCAGCAACTTAGTTAAGAAATACAAAATGCAGACGGATATATCGCAACGAGTGATTACGATTTATCAATCAAACTCCATATTATACGTTTTCCATACACTCTTGTGGCTCATCACATTCCGATAAAGGCCAGGTAAATGCCTTGTGTACGAAGTACAGTGCTATTACCATCTATCAGAGTAGGCATATACCTCATCTACTGAGGCATTCCCCTATCGGATCTTCCCATTGGCTCCTTGATCTTGAGTGACTCTGTAATCACGTGATCGTGACGGCCGCAATTTTCCCTCCCGGGGCATCATCCGGTCCCTGGAGATTCCGCGGGAACGTCGCTCAGCCATTGCTGGTACCGCACCATTCAATATGCAGAAGGTCATCCGGAGGACGGCTTTGGCTAGGAATCAGGCCCAGCGGAAGGCAGTTCGAGCTGCTAAAGATGCTGAGCGTGAAGAATTTAAAGACCACCTGAGACAGCGGTTCGCTTTGAACCGCATCGAGCTCGATAACATCCGCGCTGAGAGACAACGACGACGAGAGGACTGGCTCCGCGGACCTCTAGCACCTCAGCGTGATGCCGGCTTTGAGGGCCAATCATTCGGTGCCCTGAGCCCTCAGGCAATGAACCCACCACCTATTCCCAAGCACCTAAGGAGGAAATATATCAACATCGCCGTGGGAGATCGAGTGTGTATCATGAAGGGCCGGGATAAGGGCAAGATCAATGAGGTCGTCCGTGTTGATACAAGTAATGAGACGGTTAACGTGAGGGATCTCAACATGGTATGCTTCTGCGGTTACACGCCCTATCCTCATGGTATCTTCGCTCCTGACTGACTCTTGACATTCCGCAGAATGATGTGCATCTTCCCAGTTGGATCAACTCACAATACGGAAATAAGGGCACTGTCAATGCGATGGCCTTGCCGATTCCCATCGATGATGTCCGCCTCGTCGTTGCCCTTGACGATCCAGCTACTGGACAAACACGAGACGTCTTGGTTGAACACGTTCACGGCGGAGAGCCAATCCTTGAACGGGAACATGGCACGGAAACCCCCAGGCATACCAGATACATTTCCGGCGAAAACATCGAAATCCCATGGCCTCGCCGTGAACCTCCAGTTTTGAACGACGAAGAATGGGATACGCTACGCATGGAAGTTGAAACGCCGACTTGGACACCATCGCTGCACTATGCACCCTTCCCTCCCAGTGTTCTGGACGAGCTCCGGAATAAGTTCTCGAAATATCGTACACGGCACGATCCGGAATGGGTCGAGGCAAAGAAGATGGAAGATTACAGAAAGGAGTACCTTCAAAGCAGGTCTTTGTTGACACCGAAGGGTGAACTGATGGCTTTGATACGGGCCAAGAAAGAGGAACGCCTGAATGCGAGAAGGGATGCCAATGGCAATATACTCATGGACGACCAAACGGCCGGATTCATTGAGAATTTCTTGAAAGAGAAAATGGCGAACAAAGCGTAATCAGCTTAGATGTGATGGGATGTGTGCCAGAGGAATAATTTCTGTTCTCCCTCTTACTTGTTTGAATGTTGGATGTATACAAATGTACCACTGTAGCATAGAATATGATTGTATAAGAATACCGGGTTAGGTTTTCGCTCTACATTCCAGACCTGTGGGTAAATCTACGGGGGAAGGAAGCAACATGGTTAGATCGGGATATCTCTGAAGAGCCAATAGGACTAATGACTGATCACTATAAAGCCCCCTGATTGCGTTTGGACTATCTTTGGTCGACAGCCGCCAGGGGAGTGGTTCGCAATCTCTCTTTTCCATCATCTCTCCGCGCCCGAAGTTTCCATCCCCCATTTCTCTCTTCAACCTTCACGCAGCCCCATTCCTCAAGACATCCTGTTCGGCTTTGTTAATCTGGGGCTGCTCTTTTCCCAAATATGGCATTCGCCGCAATAAATTCATCGGCTACCAAAAAGATTCCAGCCATTGAAGATGCTTTCGCCGCCGAACCTTCTTTGAAGAAGCGAGTCTACGATGCGATCGGTGCGTAACCCAACACCTGACACGGGTCCAGGAGCGAAAGAGAATTGACTCGTGTCCGTCACGGCTTTACAGGGACTACCCCGCAATATATACCTCTCTTCGAGGACCTTGCCAAATATACCTCCAGCCTGCTGGTCAGGAATGCGAGCGCCCCCGTTCAGCCTGTAGAGGCGCCTACAGACGGCCCTGCAGCGAAGAAGCGAAAGCTACAGAATGGAGATACTGCAGGACAGGCACAGTCATCAGGCGATGTGAAAGCCGATGCGCCCTTACAATTCTATATGCAGGATGTTTCCTTCGCTGTTCCGCAACGGAAAAAGCTTACACTCGAAATTACGGCCGGGCGCGGTTTTCTTCGCGCAAGGAATCAGACATCGAAGGTAGTGGAGTTTGGCATCCACGTGGACAAAATACGTAAGTTTGGTGACCAGTCCCTATGACTTCGGCGCTAACTATGTTGTTGGTCGATACAGAACATGTCCTCTGCCTTCCTGTTCCGGAAAAGAATCAGAAGCAGTTCAACTTCTGTATTATCCCTCAATATGGCGATGGCATAAATTCGCCACCGGAGGGCGAAACTGCGCCCGAGGCGATGGTGTGGACGGTCAACGACGGTCCTCCCAAGGCGGCATTCTCGGGCAATGGACGACAGATGGGAAATAACGATGGCGAAACAGCTGAGAATGTTGTTAGGCAAATGCTGAATGAGAACCTATTACAGACAAAGGTGGTGCGTCCAGATGAGAGGGAATTTGTCAGTGCCATGCCTGAGGCGCATCGGAAGGGAGAAAAAGCGTATCATGTCAAGGCCTTCCGTGGCAGTAAGGAAGGTACGGTTACCATCAGCGGATTCCGATATTGGTTTGTCTTCAGCTAACTCATTGTCTACTATAGGCTATCTCTTCTTCTTATCCACGGGCATACTGTTTGGATTCAAGAAGCCCCTAGTCTTTTTTGCTTTCGAGAACATCGACTCGATCTCATACACTTCTGTGCTCCAGCGAACCTTCAACCTTAACATTGTGGCTCGGCCTACTTCGAGTGATGAAACGCAAGAACTGGAGTTTTCTATGATCGATCAGGCGGACTTTGCCGGTATCGATACTTACATCAAGAAGCACGGTCTACAGGATGCTAGTCTTGCAGAGGCCCGACGTGCGAAGAGATATAATATTAATGGAGCGAAGACTGGGGAGGAAGGTGCTATGGATGCAGAGGGTCCTGTTGAGGAAGAAAGCGAGTTGCAAAAGGCGCAACGCGAGCTAGATGACGAGGAAGACGAGGATGAAGAAGACTATGATCCCGGCAGCGATGACAGTAATGATGGTAGTGGCTCCAGCAGCGAGGAAGACTCTGATGAGGACGGTGATGAGGAGGATGAGGAGGAGGAAGGGCGAGACGTTCTCGCAAATGAGCTTGGAAGCGAGGCAGAGGATGCTCCTGCTGACCAGCAGTGACGGAATACTTGTCATACCTGAAGTACTGTACGAAATACCGGATGTTTCATGGTTGCGATGTCATATTCATCTCGGTGCATTGATCCTCTGCAAGTAAGACCAGTCGGGCGTAGGTTGTTGATGTTTCATCTTGACCACCTTCGGCTGATACTTTCATCTCTCACTCGTCATCCGGCATGTATCGATGTGACACTCTACAGATAGACCAGAACTTCAGCAGCGCCCCTGCAGGAAACCATGCACATCCATCATGATCAGATGTGAAGCCTCAGCCCAATCACCCCATTCCACGTAGAACCGTTTCACGGCCGCATAGTGTGGATTTCAACCGCCGGGAAGTGCACCACTGCCCTACAAGAATTTACATGCGAAGACTGTTAGGTGGGTCACCTACGTGTCGGGTGGAGTTTTTCAATGTTTTGGGTGACTGTTCAACTACGTATGCCGCTTGTTGCTAGCAATGCATATCACCAGGGTTTATACGGAGAACTTGGTTGATATATGCCTGCAGATAAGAGAATCAACAGCACCGTTCGCTACGCACTGACAGTGCCTCCCAAGACCCCGCGCCTTCTAGTGACTAGGATATGCATCCTTCGCCGGTAAGACGTAAATTATAGCTCTGTTAAAATGCTTTATATCGTGGTTTTGTGGATAAAGCATAGCTCTCCTTGTGGCTTGGGAGCGGTCTCTACATGAATATATATTTGTAGGACGTATCATGATCTACAAACGGAGTAACAATCGGCTCCGCCGCCAACCAATACAGTTGTTAATACCAACCCGATAGTTAACCAACAGAGAAGCCATGTAATATGTATTTCTCAAACTCCCATCGATCAGGATGGGCTCCTATGGTCTAGTGGGATGGAACTATCAACCCGCGGAGCCACAAAAGCAGAATCATTGGCGGATGTTCCATGGTGGAGTATCTCTAGTAGGGACTCAGTCGGCACATATTTGAACGTTAAGAGAGATCGCCTATGATCACTTTGATGTAGAAGTAAAGCGCTTGCAGAGGATTGTCCACTAACAGGACACTTCGCAATACCGATGCTTCCCAACGATCAGTGTGGCTGTTGTAACCACGGACCAGCAATCGGGGTTGATAAATAGGTCAGGTTTTAAGGGGGGAAGGTGAATCCAAAATCAGCCTGACCGTGGTTCCTAGTGGCGTGATTTTGATCTGGCTACTACTAGGAGTACCTATCTAAGTCCCCTTTGAAACGGGACGATACTATGTATATGTCTTATACGGTTTACCAGTAGTACTTTGTAGAACTTGTAGATGAAGACTAGATATGAACCTTTTTCTTCCAAGAATTCAACGATACGCCGAGGTCGACATCTTTGCTTGTTGTGCTTTTCTCTTTTCTTTTCAATTTTTTCCAATCTTTTCCTCCCCCTCTCTCTCCCAAAAAAAAAAAAAAAGTGGCACCTTCAGATTAAGGAGTGGCTTTGGTCCCATTTTCCCAAATTCGGAAATCTAAGCTACCCGGCGAAAGGGCGCGTGCTCAAAGTTGATGTATTCCCCTGAATGGCGTGTTCGACCGAGTTACTATGTGCTCAATAAAAAGAAGCGAACAAAGCCACTATTGAGTATTCCTGGGAATATGTACGGAGTAGTACTATAGACGATGGAAACGGTAGAAGAAACTGATCTCTAAAATGCCGCAGGGTATAGATTGGTCAGGGGCACCGCCAGCAAAGCAACGAACTAGTCGTCGTTTAGTCCGCGTCTGCCGATGACTGCTTTGAGTAGGAGCTGGTTGACAGCCAGCATTTTGATCTCCGTACCTGGCTTTAAAAATTAACACATGTATGTTGTCCTGCAGCTATAGACTTCGAGGTTAAAGCGAGGGACAATCCACTCCCGTTGGATGTATGCACCTGGATTGTTCGCTTATCTTTTGTCGGTATGGATATTTATCCATGGGGAAGGGGTTGACCTCCCTGGTACAGTACAGTACGAAGTACGGAGTTAAGTAGTACTACCTTTGGGTAGGGGGCCGAACGACGATGGGAAATGAAAAGCCAATCAATGGCCACCCCCCCTCCCAATTGGACTCTGAAGGTTCGAGGTAAGGTAAGGTATGTATTAAAATCACGGTAATCATACAAGAATTTTACCCTGCACATGGCCGAGGATCAGTGAGTAGTAAAGGTACACCGTACCTAGGTCGACAGGGTATTTACGGAATTGAAAAAGAAATTGAGTAACCATAGTAACAGTTGGAACCTGCGCATATCCACATGGGTCTCCTTACACAATGAATGTCTCTCAATTGAAATTTTCTATTGACCTAGGTTCCCCAGATTCATGTAACTTTCCCACCCCAGGTTGAATGGACGTCTTGATCCTTGGGTATCTGTGGACGGGGAAGCACGCGACGAACAATGACTGGAACGATTGTTCCTGGATCGTATATATCCATCCATTCCCACGTATTCAAGCTAATCCCTCCCCCGTTTGGAATCTTAGCTGCCAGTCTGGCCAGAACGACCCCCGAAATCCACTTACTATCTCCCTAGGAAGTTAGTGTCCGGGCTTCAACCGTTCGTCGCCCAACAGCCCGAGCGCTAAGGGAGCCACTAAGACAGACCAGTGACTCCAGTCCCTGTACTAGGGCGAGTCGAGGTTCCATACGGAATTCCCTGTTTTCCTTGTTCCTCCTGACGAATGTCTTGATTTCGAAGTTCTTCTGATGTTGATGACGTTTTTTCTGGTGTACACTCCGTAGGCCCTGTTAGAATTTGTATTCACTGTCTTTAGTAGATGTACGGTATCTATACAATGACCGAGAGATCTCTGAAAAATACCACGGTTCTCCCCTCGAGGATCTTCAGAGATTATCTTTCCGCTAGTCAATACCGACACTGAACTTACCCATACGCGCTAACCCCCAAGGCAGGCAGCCGGGTAATGTACTAATGGAGGTTGAATGGTACCTCAGCCTTCAGGTACGGAACGAAGTTCGACGGACCAGTGACAAGTCGCCCGCTCGTTGTCCAACCATCACCTTCCCTCCCTCTTGACTTTCCTCCTCTTTCCGCCTCATTTTTTTTTCTTTTTTTGTTCCTAATTTTTCCCTCTCTCTCCCCGTAGGCTCAGGTGTCCATACCACTGGTGTGTTCCCTATTCACCTAAAGTCCTTTCTATCCACTCATAGTTCCCCATCACTCTCCCCATTCCCTCGTCCTCCATTACTCTTTCGAACCTCACCCTCTTCCTTCCCCTTCCCTTCTCCATTCTCCCAATCCTTTCAAACCACTGCTCAGTGCGGTTCATCGTACTGCGACGCAGTTGGTGAGTATCAGGGAGTAATTTTCACTTTTTAATTATTTTCCTTTTTCTTCTTTCCTTTTTTTCCCTTTCCTCGACTGAACCCACTTTTTTTTTCTTTTCTTTTTACGATCCTCCCTTTTCCACAGCGCACCTTAAACTGTCAACCTGCAGCTCCGACTGTCGGCCTGCCGGAGATAATTGCCTGTACTTCACATCCGTGGCCTTTCCCCATCAAACGTTTCTAAAGGATATACAATTATCTTTTTGCCTGATACTATCGGTGCAACTTGTTCAGACAGCCATCGATTTGCCTCCGCCCGTCGCCCCCGTCTTGTTGTGCCGGTTCTAGCATACATTAGACTCGTGAATGAATGGTCTAGATCGCAAACAGGCTTTCTGTGAGCCTTTCCCCCTTTCTTTTGCTTCCAATGCAAATAATCATCCCATTCCGGTCGATCGGTGTTAATTGACGTTTACCCTTGTTACCTTGCTGACTGTTTCGATCTATTCGCAGACTAGTCTTTCACGTGCCGAGCCTGCGGATCGAGTCTCCTGACCCGACTGTCCCTTGGTGAAATCAGCCTTCCGCTTACCGTCACCCAATACCCATTGCAACCATGGCATCGTCGTCGTCCAACGTTGTGGGTGTCCACTACAGGGTGGGAAAGAAAATTGGTGAAGGATCGTTCGGTGTAATCTTTGAGGGCACGAACCTTTTGAATAATCAGCAAGTGGCCATTAAATTCGTGCGTGCATCGTCCCGATGGAGGAGCAAGAGATCCGACATACTGACAAACCCAGGAACCACGGAAAAGCGATGCACCGCAGCTCCGCGATGAGTATCGGACATACAAGATTCTGGTCGGATGTCGTAAGTTCTGAACGAGCATACTCATAGTAGAAGACATTGTTCTGATTGAACGCAGCGGGCATTCCCAATGTCTATTACTTCGGTCAGGAGGGGTTACATAACATCTTGGTTATCGACCTGCTCGGTCCAAGTCTGGAGGATCTTTTCGATCACTGTAATCGTCGCTTTTCGACAAAGACAGTTGTGATGGTGGCTAAGCAGATGGTGCGTGTACTAACGCTCTTGTATACCTAATGTCTAACAGTTATCTTTAGCTCTCTCGCGTCCAAACGATCCACGAGAAAAATCTGATCTACCGTGACATCAAGCCCGACAACTTCCTCATCGGCCGCCCTAATTCCAAGGCCGCCAACGTTATCCATGTCGTCGACTTTGGTATGGCCAAGCAATATCGTGATCCAAAGACCAAGCAGCATATCCCTTATCGTGAGCGAAAGTCGCTGTCTGGTACAGCCCGCTACATGAGTATCAACACCCACCTGGGCCGGGAGCAGTCCCGGAGAGATGACCTGGAAGCTTTGGGTCACGTTTTCATGTACTTCTTGAGAGGAGGTCTCCCATGGCAGGGACTGAAAGCCGCGACAAACAAGCAGAAGTACGAGAAGATTGGCGAGAAGAAACAAACTACTGCGATCAAGGACCTGTGCGAAGGATTTCCTGGTACTATTCACTCATCCCCCCACCCCCCTTTCCTACTTGAGCACAGTCATGCTGACCGTTGAAACCTAGAAGAGTTTACGAAGTACCTAACTTATGTCCGCAACCTTGGGTTCGAAGAAACACCTGATTACGATTACTTAAGAGACTTGCTCACGCAAGCCCTGAAGAATGCAGGAGAGGTCGAAGATGGCGAGTATGACTGGATGAAGCTCAACAACGGAAGAGGATGGGAGTACAAGTCGTACTCGTCCCAGCAGCATCTCCACAACAATGCACTTCCCAATTCGTCTGCCCGTGAGCTTCATGCTCAGCAGCTACGCAGCAGCCAGAGGCCCGGTGTGACAGCAGACCGTTTAAACGCCGCGCAGCCCCCGCCCCCTTCCCCGGCGAAGCCGGGAGCAGGGAAGACGCGCGAGCGGCAAAACGTCCAAGGCGGGATGCCACCGAAGCGCCAGAGCGGGGGGATGGACACCACACCGACGGTGTCCACTCAGGCACAGTTCCAGAACTCAAACGCAAACATTCCGGGTCGTATGGGAAGCCCAGCCAACCCGACGAAGAATAGCCAGCAAGGCCCAGGCACTCAAGGGAACAGTGAGCCGCAGCCCACTTTTGTTCAGAAAGTGATGAAGGCATTATGCTGCGGTAGGTGACCATGCTGATGCTCAGGTGTCATGCCTTTTCGCTTATGCAGCTTTCCAGGTTGATACCCGGTTGAGCACAGGAATGTAACTTTTACATCATGTTGGCTTTCAACTTTCTTTCGTTCTTTCTTGTCTTCGCACTCTTGGGAGGGTTGAAAGACAGCATGCAATTATACTCTGTTATAAACCAGACGCTCCCCATCTCCTTGGACCAAACTTGGAAGGCTTTTGCAGACACTGCTGGCAGATGAGCACAAGATGGACAGGGGCGGGTATATTGTTTTCCTTATTCTTCTGTCAACGATGGAATGGGTTTCGGATCGAGCAAACTGCTCGCCCGCCCGGTTTCATCTCGACGCTGCAAAATTAATACAGCTCGAAGCGGACCGGTCACCGACTGGAGCGACCCTCATTTCACACCTCTACGTCTCATCACACTCGTCATCTTTGACACTCTTTTCATGGTGCTACGGCTCGGAACGGCGAATTTGCGATTATTCTGCTTTGTGCGATTTCCTTTTCTTTTTCCCTCTCGCATTCTGGCGTGAGCCATTTAATACTAGATTCTTGTGTGTCAGATTACATATCGTTGCCCTACCCTCATCCTTTTTCCGACCATCTCGACCCCTTTCACCTCTGGCCGCCTCTATGCTCTCAGTTCATTGTGGCTGGTTCTTCGATGGTAATATTAATGACATGGCGGAAGGGCGTTTGGCATCTGATGGAAGAGTCCTCGCGTTTCAACCAGCAGTGACCTATTTACAAAGCATTTAAGATTATAAATGTTTGAATATGCCCCATGGGATACGTCGCAGGACAAATGGGTCCATCAGTCAAGGAGTTTATGTGGAAGCAGCCTGCGGCTGTTTGATTTCCTTTTTTTTTTTTTGTTCTCTTTCTTTTTCTTTTGCCTTTGTTTCTTGTCTGCGTACGTCTTGTGTCTATCTGCAGGGGATCATTCAGATGTAGCCTCATTGGTTGGATTTGTACTTGTTTATACCTTTGCCATTGTCAGCCAAAAGCCAAAACAAGGAGTGGATTGATCAGCTGTGACCCAGTCTCATGCCCCTTAGACGAGACTGATGTGCTTTACTACCGATCTTGTGGCGCTCTCCAGTCGGGTTGTTGCAGGATCGAAGGGAACCAGAGAGGCAACGTCTTATATCTTTCCGTTCCTCGTTAAATCTACTGCCTTGTGTCTATACATGTTTGAGCAGCGAGTTGATCGTGTGGGTTCAAGATCGCATTCTTTGATTTGTTGCACTGGGGCTTATCCGCTCTGCCAGTGTATAAGACAGTATGATAGCGTAGAGTAATTATACCAAACAAGTTATGTTCAACCCAGCCTTTTCTCACCCACTATCCGATCCGCCGACGGGGCCAGTCATTCAAGTAGATGGATATGAAGCAAGTATCTATAACCCTATTGGATGTTACTCAGAGAATCAACAAGAATTCCTGCATGATCAGAGACAAGTTGCAGACCGAGACCAGCCGGATTTAGTAGCAAGGCCATGGACATGGGATCTGAAGGGTGGTAGTATCTCGGCGCAGCAACACTAAGAGTGGCATCCATGTCCCTGTCACTTCAGAATGGGCCGCCGTTGGCACCGGGATTAGTTTGCCGTGCTGCAGAAATGTTGCTTATGGGTGGCCATTGGTTGACAGGTGCAGATCCTCCCGAGTCCTTCATTCGCGTCTGGGTCTGCTGGCCTGATTGATTGACATCTTCACGTCATTGGGGACGGGGAGATATGAGGTATGAGGTATGAGGTGGGACATGGATGTCGTCCTCCAATGGGTTCGGTTCGGTTCACCTTCGCAACACCGGCCTTGCCTGACTTCCTGACCATCTGTAACTATTTCAATCTGGCTGAGGGGAATGTGGCTTCAAGTCTGACGATTGTTCATGCATGTAACCTCGGATGGATAGACATATGTATGAAGCATTTCCGTCTCTTGAGAGTAGTAGGAGTAGTGCCATGCTCATTCGCTGGACTGTGCTGTGTACATAACGATCTCCTTCATCTGGTAATGCAAGCCCTGTCGGCGAGTACCGTCACAGGATGAATAGGATTAGTTATCCATCTTCTCAGTGGGTACTCATTAAACAGACTGGGATCAGAATCATGGGGTCCCCATTATTCCCCTCTTCGTTTTTCTAAAAACCCCCCCACAGTCCAAGTCTAGACTTGAGGAGTCGTTTTTTCCGTGTGTAGGACCAATAATGTGAGCCATCATGTATCCGCTGCTAACGAAGTGGCCTTGGACTTATCTTGATTAAGAAGGTCCGTTACTGGTCGATTGGAGTCACCAGCACAAATTATGGAGTCCAATGTAGATTACTAACGACTTTAGCGTAACTATCATCCCCTAGGCACTTTTTGAAGATCATGCCACAACATTCTGAGACTGGTATCTCTCGTGTTTCTTGCTGGCCCCTCTTCTGGTTAACCGTGGATTTGCCGGCCCTTAGGGTATTGATGTCACGAGAGACTAGCCTATCTTGCTTTTGACTCTTGAAACATCATCTGCTGATCATTTAGTCATGGTGGAGAGAGAGAGACAGAGAGAGACAGAGAGTGTGTCCGTGTGCTTAAGTTGTTTGTGTGTCTTTACAGAACGGAGAAATTGTGGATCAATTGATGATGATCGCGTGGTGAAAGTGTTTTCCACCCATGCTTCTTGGAGGGGAAATTAGGGGACATAACACAAGGGGGACTCCCTTATATCCCATTATCGCGATCCATGCGCACTGGCACGAACATCCACACCGTTCCAGAAAGAATCGTCTACACCGTTAGTTCTCCGTTGTCCGCCAACTGTTTCCAACGTGTCTTCCAATTCGCGACCCCATGACACGTGGATGTGATACGTTGTTTAGTAGGATCCCGACTTGGGAGCTGTTGGAACCGTTTGGAAATCGACCAAACCTTCTTATACCAGGCTGGGCTTGATTGGTAGCGATTGAGGGGGGGGATCCGGTCTTGAGCTGTAGTTCTCTCACTAGCTATTCTGATAGCTCCCATGCATTATGCATGTACCTTAGGTAGGTCGGTAGTAGTAGCTTGTCCATGCGTTTTCGATTTGCTTTGCCTTTTTCTTTTCTTTTTTTTTTTTTTTACTATCTATATGATTCTATACTCCGTAAGATCTCCACAGAGGAACTAAACATGAAAGGTTACTATTAAACGAACTATATGTGGTGATAATACAGAGTACTTCGTGAGTTAGTCTCTGGTCATTGGATACACTATAATACAATACTAGTATTCCATTCCACCACTAACCAACCAAACCCTCAACCACAACGCAAATTGCGACAAGCCAAAACGAAAAAGAAAATTATAAAAATAAAAAAGGGAACACAACCGAGTGACACCCGGCTAAGGCTTGATCCGAATTAGCGATTGCGTACGCCGTCGTCGATATCTCGCAAGAAGACACCCGAATCTCTCGAACAACCAGATAAACTAAAAAGTCGATCCACTTGTGAACTGAACCGATAGATACCTGAGATAGTGCTTCACGCTGTTCCGCTACCCATTTGAGGGGGGGAAGAGGTCCCACTCCGGTTCCTCGGAAAACTAAGTCCTTGTCTCCATCTTTTTCTCCTTCGTGTTATCAATTTGTCCCAATGATAAGGTCATATCTTTTCACGTTGCGTGTAATGGGGCCTATTGGGTTGGGTTGGGTTCGTTTACTAAAGTAATATAAATATTCATCACACGTACTCCTACTTTATCCGGAGTATAGCCGCACTAATCCTAATAGACGGATAGAACTATTGATCGAAATTCAATTTCTATAGGTAGTTCATTTAGAAGAAGGAGAAAAAAAAAAAAAAAAAAGAGAATCAGGCTCGAGGTGGATAGTGGATACATATTATTTCTATCGAACTATACTCTGTATACGGACTAGTAGCGGCATAGCCCGACTAGTGATTAGAGCCTTAATTTTTTGCCACAGTTTTATTTGAATTTTTTTTTTTTTTTTTTTTCCCTCTGTGGGGGCTCAGGAAGAAAAGTTGGATATTGAAAGTTGTGGGATAGTGGAGCTCAGCAACGACGATATCGGGTAGAGCAATCTCTATCTATAGACGCCGGTGAGCACGGTTGGAGTCGGGCGGTTCCTGTTAGTTCGTCAGGTTGCTATGGCAGTTGATGATCTGGTTCAATGGCTGGTTTTAGTGATGCTGCACGGAATAGTGATGCTGAAGTTGTTGTTACTTGTTGATATCGGGAGAAATAGGGATGGCTGGTTTATATCAAAATGTCCGTTCTCCTGACCGAGAAATACTGTTATTCTATATTTAATGTGTTGTGATGATGATGCAAAGTTTAATCCTGAGAGGGAAAAAATTCTCGCAAGGGAATTCGCCTTCAATGTCCATTCATAGATTAGTTCCAGGTACTGGAAGGCGTTACACAGGGGACAAACAACTATCGAAGTGGCGTTGGAACAACTCGAAGGCTTCCATATATGTTCTAGAATCCGAGAATTTTCACCGCATTTGACCGTGCTGAGCCTTGTGGCTTTTATCTTCTTGGCCCGCCCCCGTTGTCTGACACCTGTAGGGCACTCACGGAAGAAAACGGAATGCCCGAATGATTGCATTGCTTGCGGGAAACGACGAGACTTTCCCGGTTTTTTTTGTCTGACTCAGTTTGCCACTTGAAACCGATACCAATCTAATTTTCTTTTTCTTAATTGTGGTCCTAGGTGGCTCCCTTCATAGTCTTATCCGGGACTGGATTCGTTATGATCTGCAGATGTACAGGGACGACGACCTTCTTTTATTTTGGGTTGCACGGCAGACTGTCTATGACGTGATGTTATCTCATCCAATTTTTTTTTTCTTTTTTTAATATTTTATACTTCGTACTACGTCCCGTCGTGGTCCCCTCTATCACGGTTCATTGAACAGATGATGGAGGAGAACATCTTGCAAGGGATGGCAGATCTTGTGTTACTATTGTTTGTCGATGGCCCACTGTCTCTGTGATGGGATTGGCCGGATATCATTCATTCCATCGAGAAAGAATGGTGTAGGACAATACCTCACCCTTACCCCTCTCACGACGCGCAATCCATTGAGCTTTGGGATGGGGAATATCTGCACACTGTGTGTAAGCATGTAGCATTTACTCCGGAGTAGTAGTAGTAGTTAATAGACGGATATTGATCTGAATGCGACGGGACAAGAGCTTGAAGCTACCTGTCAGGGAGGTCTTACCCAACGCAGTTAAGAAGCTTCAAGTCCGAGCCCATGGATCTTGCCAAGACGTAAGAATGGAAGCGGTCCAACAAGCTTCTCGACCGAACAAAGAAAAATTTAATTCGACTGAGTATCTCATGATCCTAAGCAAACGCACACGTTGGCGGCCTTGGCCGCTTCTGTATCCCCCCTCATGGGGACGTGTGCTCGGGTGCGTGAAAGTGAAAGTGGGGGGGGTAACACTAAGCGCGAAGGACCCTGTGGCATTCGCTGGAATCCTTGCCAACGAAAGGACCACGCGGGTTAAGAGTTATGTACACGCAAGCCACCCACTCTCTGACTGGTCAAGCTTGACCACGTACTTGAACGGGCCGAAGCTCTCTGATTAGTGGATCACTTGAGATTCCCTTCCAAGGTTGTGTCGTTTTTCCCTTACTTGTCAAACTGGGGCAATCCTGCATTCTTTTGGAATTCTTTTTGCCTTCGTTGACGTTCTGGAAATGGAATTTTCTTTTTTTCTTTTCTTTTCTTTTTTCTTTTTGCCTTTTTTTTGGGCAACTTACCTATCCAATCTTTAGGGGGTGTTCGGGAAATTCCTCATCGGTACCGTTCTCGGTGAATGACCTTTTATGTCTTTTTCGACTCAAACCACACAGCGACACATATACAGTTTTCTGCATGTCTGCATACTCCTTGCAGAATATTTGGGGTAGCTAGTAACTGCAGGCAGGGATGCTAACTGGTGCTACCGTCATTAAACAAACACTAGAATGGAGTCGAGCAAAGAGCCGGAGGTTACGTGATGAGTGGACGGGATTTGATGGCCTTGCACTGAAGCTAGTCGAGAATGAGGTGGTCAAGGTTGGGACTAGAGGGAGTAGTAATATTTCATTTTATTATTTTATTTATCTTCTCACTTTTCTTTGGGGGTTTTTTTTTTTTTTTTTTCCCTTCGGCCCTCGCCCTCAATCACTCCACAAACCTATTCGGGGGCTTGCAGATGAGGGAGCGAGATCCACACCATCCACACGACGCGCCTTGCCGTTTGAGAATGAACAGCACTAAAAAGTCTGAGCTCCCTGACTTCCTTTCACACACACCCAGGTTAGCCTTCCGGGTCAGGCTGCACTACGGATTACTACTACTCTTGAAGGTAACACCCCCTTGCCTCCAGGCTGCCGTATGGAGTCGATGGCTGCACTGCCTTCTTGGCATTCCTGTAGATCCTGACGTGGGTGGTCCAATCATCGCCCGACGCTCCGCTCTGCACCACCACCTGTCAGGCCGTCTTGCGCCTTCAGAGCATCACGACGGAGACCGGTTCCCTGACTTCGGATTCGAGAAGCCTTTGACTTCCTTTCCCCTCGGGTGAGGTTATCCCAGGTAATACAATGTGTGCGTCGGGATTGAGGCCCAGAGGGTTGGAAATCTTCAAGAGGCGCCGCCATGCTCCCATGTGTCCACGAGAATGAGAAAACACGTCGCGATGGGAAAGCTAATGTAGGTGATCTTGGATTGTAGGTAGTCGACTCCTACTACTAGGTAGCAGCAGTGTTTAAACTTAAGCTGTCATAGGCCCATGGCTATAGGCAGGGCAGTTGGTGAGAAGTTACCATGTCCGGATGTGCATACCTCCAGCAGTATCCAATTGTCCTCCGTCATAAAGTATGTACCATTGGATGTATGGACAAGATTGAAATTAAGTCCTTCATACCCAAATGCATAGAAAAAGAATCGAAGAATGTGTCTTTTCTCTCTCTCTTTTTTTTTAATTAATTTTTCTTTTCCCTCTTTCTTTACTTTTTACCTTTTATTTTTATTTATTATCTGCCAGTGTTAAAATAGAACAAAATCAAACAGATCGAGTCCAGACACCACGAGGCTTGTCGCCACAACGGGAATTGTTCTAAAACACTATAAGGCAAAAAGCTCCTGCATCAGGTGCTCGTCCTACAAAAGCAACAATTCTAGTCCTGTAGGGTCCAAAAATTATTAATTGTTTTTTTTTTTTTTTCCCTTTTTGCGAATAACCCGCCTTCCCGGAGATTTATCATGGTATCATACTGATATTAGATTTGTTGTATGATCATTTACTACGCGTTGCATGCGGACTTCCATAACATCCTCACCCATCCATACATCCATCCATACATACTTTCATATCTACAGCAAAAAGAGATATATCACGCCCTCCTTTCTGTCCGAGGGATCTCTTTACCTTTTCCATAGCCTTCGACCTGCAGCTTTTTGTCATTGCAGACATTTCTCCCTCGGCTTCCCCTTACTTCGAAGATTCCTTCTTTAGATATTCTGTTGCTGAAAGTCGCATTGAGTCAGTGTTGTGGTGAGTTGAATTTTGATTTATTTTATTTTTTTTTACACTTTTCTCTCTTTTATTATTATTATTATTATATTTTTTTTTTAAGATTTCCTTATTTTCCCTGGTTTCATTCCGATTTTGGAAGCTTTCATCCCCCTTTCGTAGGGGATTTCCTTTCTTTTTCTAGTCCACATTCCTCGAATGTGTCATGTCTGGAAGGAATGGAAGGTTCGGCAGCACGTCGTGTGGTATAAGGATGATAGGCAAACATCAGACCCAGATCCAGACACAAGACACACACAGAGAGAGAGACGAACTTGAGAAACTGGCGCCAGGCTCCACTTGGAGTCGATGGGTTTTCTTTTCTTTTCTTTTTTTTTTTTTTTAATCTCCCTCCACCATCACCATAACTACGACATTGGATACTGTGTTGCAAGTTCCAACTCGCAAGGGGATCCACCTTTTTCCTTTTTTTTTTTTTTTTTTTCTGTTTCCACTTTCCCTTCCCAGGATTGACTTCCAGGACGGAGATCAATTTCGATCCTCCACTGACGGACACGATCCATTCTCACGATTCTCCACCACAAGAGCATCCAGATCCTGTTTTTGTTTGGGACAGAGAGAAAGAAAGAGAGAGAGAGAGAGAGAGAGTCAGTCAGTCAACACTCAGAAGCTTTTTTTTTTTTTCTCTATTTTCCTACAAGACGATCTGAGAGCATAGAGCATACCTCTGTAAAGCAGATATGACGTGATCTGCCCTGTTGGAAGTCTGCGTGTACCATCAATCCTTCGTTCATGAGTTTGATTTGCTTTGGCTCCAATTCTTCTTCTTCTTCTTCTTTGATTCTTCGCTCTTTCTTTACATATCGATCTATATTCAATCGATACGATTTCCTTCGATCGCTGTCCCCTTTTCCTCTCCCTCTCTCGTTCTCTCTCATCTTCTGCCGTCCTTCCTTTTCAGGCAGGAAACCAGAAACCCACCAAACAAAGGTTAGTGACCGTGTGCACACACTCTGTCTCTCTGATTGGCATCATCGCGCGGGCCAAATCCTGGGATCTGAGTGGCTCTCTATCTCCGCCAACCTCGATCTGATAGGCCAAGCGCTTGATCGACCGGGAAGTTAGTCGTCTGTGATTTGTGGCGGAAATACACGCCTGTGGGTTCGCATCCTTTGGCTCGTCTCCTCAACCGACCAACGTGGATGCTGTGTCTGGAACTCTGGGACCCTCTTTCTCGCCCTCTCTCTGTGTCTTGTACCTGTGGGCCCAAACCACACACCACACACCCACTCTCTTCCTCTTGTTTCCCCCCCCCCCCCCCCCCAGGGTTGCTCGACGCTTCCGTGCAGGATTCTGAACTCTCTGGAAGGGCTTCTGATCCGCAGCATCACATCACCCTGTCCACCTTCCCGCCTGCCTCGTTTCTTATTATTTGAGAACCACTCAACCTCCCCTTATCTTCTCTTTTTCCTTACTTTCTCTCTTCTCCCCGGTGTCGTCATCATTATCCTTCTTTGTGTGTGTGTGTGTGTGTGTGTACTGGGTGTTCTTACTGTTTTGCATTTTTGTCTTTATCTTCATATTAGACTCTCCCAAGAACTCCTTACATGTAACATCCATATCTCGGCTGCGGCACACGACTAATCAGTCCTTTCACTCGATAACAGATCTCACCCTTCGTTCACTGAGATCTCTCGCGCGGTCCCCCTCCCCACACTTACCTTGGTCCTATTTTAATTCCAGCGTCCCTCATCCCTCCCGACACTGTCTCCGAACGCCCCGAATCGGCTTCTTTCGTTACACATCCCGTCCCCACGGCTTCTCACGCCTCCCCGCCGGTTCTTATTGGCAAGCGCCTGCTCCGGCTGAGTCAACATAGGCAGAAACCTTCCCCTCGCCATTGACCCGTTATTTCCGGTCAGGGACACCCAAGCCCTATTAGTACCTGCAAAGTCGTGAGGAACAAACCGTGGGCTCTCCCCGAATTTCGAATCATCCCGAACTGGGGAGGAATCAGGGTGGCTCAACGTACATTGAAACGTTCCAAAAAACCTCGCACGCTGTACGCGATGCTCAAAAAGAAGACTCTATACCCTCCTCTCCATTTCTGGCATAGTACTCCCACATCCACTCCTGAACTCTCTCCCACATCGTCATCTTCGGACAGTGAGTCAGACGAGGACATGGACCTATCTGGTTCACGTCCGTTGAGTCTGACCGTTCCGGCGGGTGCATTTTGTCCCATGCGTCCAACCTTAGATGAGGTGCTTGCAAACACGGCACCCGCTCCTTACACCCTCAGCGCTTTTATGGCCTACCTTTCCCAGAACCACTGCTTGGAAACGTTGGAATTCACCCTCGAAGCGAAACGGTACCGGGAAACGTACGACACTCTCAGCCAGCAATTGAGTGAATACCCTATCGTCGCCGAATGTCCGGAAAGCCAACATCTGCGGATGCTTTGGCAGCGACTTCTGACGGCCTACATCATTCCCGGATCCCCCCGCGAGATCAATGTCTCCAGTGAAGTCCGCGACGATATTCTTCGACAGGCTAATTCGACCATCCCCCCTCTGCCCGAGACCCTCGATGCCGCCGTGAAACTCGTTCACGAATTGATGGAAGAGTCAATCTTCCTGCCCTTTCTGAATGCCCACGCCGCTAGCGCCCAGGTTGTACCGCTGGCGGAGCCGCTATTTCCGCAGGAGGATGGGGTAACGGTGGTTTCCGGGCCGAGTCTCGACGAACATGATATGAAGCGCGCCCGGTCGAAGGGACGGCGGCTGTCCCCGCGATCGTCGAAGGATTTTGGATCTCCGACTTACTCGTCCAGCCACTCCGGGCGCTCAAATTTCTCCCTCAGTGCCATGACATCCATGGGAAAATCTAGCCACCGGCATTCCAGTCACACTTCTAGCGGCAGTGGTGACTGCTCGGCTGGCCTGACGGACGACTCTGGCAGTTTACAATCCCTGAGCACCGGCGAACCGATGACTCCCCCGACGACGCCCCCATCCAGTGACGCCCACGGTCTGCATCTGGCTCACAGCCCGAAGCAGCGCACCGATAACCCATGGAAGAAAATGGGGATGAAGTTGGGCTTCAAGAAGCGTTCGAATACCGGGAGCTCGGGGAGCAACAAACTGTCTGGCATGGACGAATGACTCGCCATGTGTCATTTATTTCAACATCTCTTCCACCTGATCTGTGCCTGTGGCACTACACTACGACCGACATCTACATCGCGGGGTTAATGGTCATAGTAACCCCCATCATTTTTCCCCTTTCAACATGTGATAGAACGACACGACCTGGTTTGCATATTTTCAACTGCATCCGATGATTGATCTCTTGGTTATTGAGCCTCATTCGCATTGACTTGGACATGAGTTGACGGTGTAATGCATGATGCATTGTTTTATTTTGGGAGCATTGTCATAGCAGGCGTTTTGAGTGATTATGCAGTGAGCGAGCATTTCCTTTGTTATTTTTCAAAATAAGATAGAATATGGTCCCAAAACGGATGGGCGGTCATTTGTGAGGCGTTATTGTGTTGGTTTCTCCGGGCGATTGGGGATTTTCGCCCTTTGTTTAATTTTGACGCATACCTACTATTGTTATGTCCGGCATGATTGTTGGCTGCATCGGACTGGCTGCATTATCTACACTCTTCCATGTATGACTTAGCATTTACATTCAACGAGAGATACCCATGGGTTCTTTGAGCCAACTTATTTTTCATTGTATTGTGCGAGAAACGATCTCAACACTATTCATGAGGACTCCTCCACACCTCGCAGACCCCAAACAAATTCCAATATTGAAGCAAATCCCTGTCACAACCCTGAAAGATATCATCCTGCCCACCTTAAGAGTTCTACGAAAGAAGTCACTTCCATGGTACATACATGTTTTAGTCACGGATGCAAGTAATTACTAAGTACGAAGCGGGTTATTTTCAAGCCACTCACTGCCATACTCAGTCAGTAGCTCCCAGGTGCAGATGAAGATCCACAACTTATTCTCCGGGTCTGGGGAAACACACTCTGTCGATCATTGTATGTCAAGTGGAATTGGATCTTAGTCGCATGGATATTCTCACCGTTGTTATATTTTATTATAGAAAGAATGTTCCATCAACAAACGGTTGTATAGTGTAATGGTTAGCACATCGGATTCTGATTCCGGTAATCCCGGTTCGATCCCGGGTACGACCTTTCGTTTTTTGGGCCATTTTATTCTTTTTGGGCTGTTAACCATGTTGGTTTTGGTCGGTTTTTTGTTATGTATGTTATTGTGGATTCTTTTGTTTGGGTTTATTCGTGGTGGGATTCCATCTGGCTGCGTTTTGGATCATTTTCTTTTGTGGTTTGTCCTTTGTGCGCTGGATAGGTTGTATATGAAATACGATTTTATTGTTTGTGTCGATGTTGGTATATGGAGAATATTTGTACCAGTTCATGTATGGTAGCTAAGTATCAACAAGCAACCCGCCGTCCAGACCTTGTTTCCAATGCAGCAACGGTTAGATCCCATCCTGCCTGTGTAAGAGCTGATATGTACTGATCCGCACGAGAATCATCATTTAGGAAAGCCAATGTCTTGGAGATCATGTCCGTGATATACTTCATCTCTGTGCTGCCCTCCTGTGCCCGCTTCTCCTTTGCGGATGAGCATAGCACTCGTGCAGTCAGTAATGCGTGCATCCAGGCTTTGTGTTGTGTTTGGGTCGTGCTACTCGTTTTCAGGAGGATTCTTGCGTCCCAGGTCTGGCGGTTATGGTGCAGGAATAACAGGTAGTCTTCTGATCTGAAGAGGGATGCAAGGTCGGCCACGGGTGTTGATGTTTTGAGGGAGCCGGATCCCGTGCGTGTCGAGGCCGGGGCGAGGAATTGTTCAAGTGAGACTCCGATACGACAGAAGCCTAGTTTGTGTGGTGTTGATGGGGCAGAGATCCATTTTAGGATGCCGTCCGTCTCGAAGATCTTCTCTTGTTTGGAGACTTGGGCTGGGGTTGGTAGCTGCCATTGATTCTGAGATTGTGTTGCTTTGGTATGCTTGAGGATTGGGTGAGCTTGGTTGAAGCTTGCAATGTCAAGGTCTTTATCGGAGTCTAGTAATGTTGAGAAGACGATGTTGGCTCGTTGCCGGTTCAGACTGGTCATTTGTACGGAGCGGACAGCCGCGTAATTGAGACTCAGGTGCATGGTAAGAAGCATCACTAGAGAAATCCAGGTGGCGGTGTAGCTTGTAACCTGAGATACAACAAAGGATCCAACCTGCACTTCATCAGCTTAGCACCGTGCAAGGGGATATTGAATCAATCTTACCAGCATCCCAATAAGGGAGATGATAGTTTCTTGTGAGGAGTCTTTCTAGGCAGGAAATTAGTCATTGATATAGCCTTTAACAGACTGAGCAGAACGTACGGCGTTAACTTCTGCGAGATTCCCCCACCGAGAGAAATGTGCACTCAAACTCGCCTTGGAGCTTCCTCCTGCGACGCCACACAGAGCTCGTAGCACGCCTGCTGTGCTGAGAACAGTCACTCGACTGAATCCTGCTGGGAGCATCGGGGAAAGGCAGTCGAGAATCATTGCAGCATCGTTGAATATATCTGCTGCAAGGCGGTACATTTTGCATTCTGGCTCTAGGGCAGTGCCAACCCTATGGGCAAACAGAATGGTTGCAATTCGGCCGGATGTGTCTTGAAGGATGTGAAGCAGAAGAGCAGCTGTCGGGGAAGCATCCGCATTGCCCACTCCCACACCTGTTTGCTGACCGTTAGTAAAGCCGTGGTAGCCCTTGACTAAGGGGCATTACCTTGTAGTACTGCTCTCGAAGACAGGAGGCCGGCAATTGAACTACTGAACGCTTGAAGCGAGTCCTTAAAGTGTTGATGAGTTAGTCACGCTCGTAATCCGCGCTTTGGCAATAAGACATTGTAGAGGAGAACATATTCAGAGACCTTGTTGGCTATGAGGTAATCATGTATGGCATAGGCAAGATGTAGTACTCACAAAGATTTGATACCTGCAATCTATATCAGCGGTGCTCATCCTATAGTCGCACAACGGAAATGATCAGGGTACGAGATAACCTACGGGGCATAATCATCACTGACACTGTGAGGATATCCAGCAGGGAGAAACACGTCGACCAGGAGGCTTTTGAGAGAGGACAAAGACCACGTTTGGGGCTTGGAGGAGGGGTGCTGCACATTGTCAAGTCAATGACCATAACTTGTTTATTATTGACATATAATGAGATATCTCAGAAAATCCAATGGAATCATATAGTTATATAAAAGGTGGTCGTCAATACTGATTATGCCGACTGTATTCATGAGAAGGGGTTGATTTCCAATGAATTTGAGGTTCTCTCATTTCCACCATACATGCAACGTCTAGATAACTGATTGAAATTCGAAATAAAATATAGAAACATACTATCACATCTAGTCGCCCTGTGCTATTGTTCTTATCGTGCTGAGGAAGATGCGTCGACTGATCCACAACTCCAGAGTAGATGTAAGTAGCAGTAGGGTTATTGACCTCGTCCACTTCAGTGAAAGTTATAGTGCCGTTGGCATCGGAAGCCATGCTTGGACTCTTGTCTCAGCTCTTGGCTGGGATATTCAAATATCAGGAAGACAAGAAAGAAAGCCGATGCAATTAGATGTGGTATGAAGTAGTGGTTGAGGTTTGTATGTCACTTTGAAAACGTGGTTGCTCCTTAGTCATCTTTAGGTCTTCTGCCCAAATTAAACGTACCACCAACGTGCAAAACTCCTTTTGCAATTAAATTAATGTCCCTGTAGTTCTATTCAAATAGCTGTCAAGGTTAGAAAATTGAAGTGTTTGCTCAAGAGTAGCAGTCACAGAAGTACATCGCTTCGTTCATCTTCTGTCCTTACTGGCACTCCTTCCCTCTTATTTTCCTATTTATAAGCTCTATATACTTATGTCCTTCACAAAGCTAGGGTTCTCTCTGGGATGTTCTTCATTTCCTTGATAGCAATTATTGCTAAACCCACCAACCCGGATACGTTCCATGCGAATGTATAGACAGATCTAGAAGCCCAAGTGGCGTGAATTTCACAGTGAATTTCCCAAAAAAAAAAAAAAAAAAAAAAAGAGTACGGAAGGCTACGTTGCAGTCCTCTCTGCCCTACCCCCAAAGATTAGGGAGGATTCGCTGTCTATTAGGGGAGGGTTTCAGCCCTCCTCCCTGAGCTTCGTCCCTGATATCTCCTCATCATTGGACTTTCTTATTACTGTCTTTATGGGAGCGATAGTGAACGTTTGACTTCATAGGGGTATTACTATCTATATCAAGACAGAGTAATTGAAACAGAAAGAGGACGACAGTCGTATCCCATTGAGTTATATGTCTACCTAGATATGCTGGACGTTGCTCTAATCTACAAGAGTCTACATTGCTTGGATAGGCTGATTATAAGATTAATCGCGGAGAAGCGCACCTGGCTCGGGCTATTGTTAGCTATTGTTCGATCTGCATAGTCCAACACTAAGTAGAGTGATTTCCAAAGCGTTACAGACACTCCCATCCTTATGAGTGGTAAGCTTAGAGTGCCATCTACAAGAGCTGTGAGTGATAACTGCAATGAACCACATGATAGATGTACTGACTTGGGTGGGGTTGAAGTCATAATCTCATGGACGTTGACCTTACCAAAGGCGAAGGCTCTGTTCCAAGCTCTGTGAAATGAATACCAACCCCAGTGAATATCAACATCAAACAGCCACGAGCTTAGATATCTGACCCAACTCCCCTATTTTATATTTCCCTTGACCTTCTTCCTCTTTTTCCCTTTCTCTTACTTTCATACCCCAAGACACCAAGCATATTCCCCAAATATCAATCCCTCCATACCACCACCCTCTGATTTCTTCAAACATTACCCCAGTTACTACCCTACGGGACAGGTCCTAACACGATGGGAGAACTCACCATCCACCATGGTTCGACCTACATTAAAGTGGGGGGAATATGACCGCGACCCATTGTTGGTATCCTTTAAACTAAAGCTAACGCTTACCCTTAGTTTCTGGATACGGAGACGGTTTCTGATGTGGTCCGGGTAGCAAAATATATGGTGAAACTCCCTTTCGTCTGCGCTGGCGCTCTCTCGCAAAAGCTGGTTAGAGTGGGCTTATCGTCGAATTTGTTACCTGTGGACCTCTGGTCTCATGTTCCACCTTGAACCATTCGCAAAACAACTCGATATCGATTTGAGATCCAAGAGTTTGCGGGAAGATGACATTGGTATCGTCCTAGAACATGGCGAAGTAGCTGGAGGCTATTCAACTATGGCCTGGCGAGTACACTGAAGTTGAGATGCAAGGAGAAAGGAAATATAAGCGTTCCACTAACTACTATTCTATTTGGCTACGTCATGGGTGATTGGTGGTCCCTCTTGCCGTATCGAACACGTGCCATTAGCCTATTTGCATAGTATTTGGTAGTTCTGGATTTATTGGAATCTGTGATTGAAGAAGCCATCTAACACTTTGTCCTCCTTGAGCCCTAGTATGATACCGAAGGAGCCACCAGGGAGCGAAGTCTTAGCAACAAATGAAACCATCTATGCACGAATGTTTGCAAACCTGAACATTCCGCAGTCAGACATCAAGACGATAACACCCCATATAACACGCCGGAAGAAAATAAAAACCGCTAAGGAAGAAGTAATAACCACCAGCGCCATGGTACGAATAAATAAAACAAAGAAAAGTAGCAGGAGTCGGTCAGAGATTTCCCCCCGATGAAGATTCTCCTGGACCCATCAGGTGCAAAGCTTCCAACCCCTGACTAATGAAGTTAGGGTCCACGACGACGTGAGATTAACCCAGCCCCACGGGCTATCCGGATGTTCTTCGTATCGCATCGAAGACATCGGAGAGCTACTTTCGTCGTGTCTCCGTTCAACAGTGACCCTTCAAACAAGCGAGTACCCCAGCCATCTCACTTCTATCGTTGTAAGTCGTCCTCATTGCATCATCCCTCATTCACATACACAAAAGAGGGCTTAAGCCAAGAGACTGGCACCACCGGTCTCGATGGCTTCAATCTCAGCTTGGCTCCACGGAAGACGCTGGAAACGAGGAGGAAGCTCGGCACGGTCGAAGTATTCTCCCTGCTTGGGCTGAACGGGGCCCAAAGCGGAGCCCGAGCTACGGCCGATCGAGCCCTGAACGAACGAACCACGGCTCAGAGGACCATGCTGCTGGGCCTTAACACGGTAGGCAGCGAAAGAGTCGGGGAGGGCGCCTGTAGGAGAGGCAGGGTGAGGACGAGGAGTGTGGTCAATGGCTTCTGGATGAAATGGGTTAGTCTCGGCTCAATTGCTCTTTTTACCCGCAATTGGGAAGGGCATAGAAGCACATACGAGGCACGGAGCGACGGCCAAGGAACCGAATAAGAGGAGTCCGGGAAACGGAGCGGAGAGCAGCAGTGGCGTGCATTTTGAATGTGTGATATATGAGAGAGATTAGGATTGTTCAGAAGGAAGAATTTTTGGTTGAGGCGAAGAGATTGCGCGAGAATTGGGGGTTCCGCTATTGCCCGACGCGACAAAGGTAGGTAATTATTAAAAGTTGTGACGTTGAGTATAATCTAATTTTGACAGTCTCCTGGGATTGACTTCGAGATATTCTCGGGGATGCAACGAAAGAATTATATACAGTGGTCGAAAGACTGGAAGACTGGACGCGAGGGTGAAGAGAAAAAGAGAAGAGGAAAGTGGGAGGACAAAGGAGGGAGGAGGAGTAGAAAAAGGCTTGGGAGAGCGTTCGGCGTCGGAGCGGAAGCGAGGGCAGAATTAGCGTAGTACTGGAGTGCAGGTGCAATTGATAAGCTCCTCTCGGTGGGTGGTCCGGAGAAGGATTACTGTAGGAAATTAGTAGGTCGTATGGTATTTTACTCGGGGTTACCAGAGGAATACCGACAATGGGTGGTACCTTCAATGTACCACTGCCCTCGGTCGTGTATCTACTAGTAAGGTATTCCGTACGGCGTACTACAACTTACTACCTATGTACATTGTACTCTGTACAAGTACATCCATACATACCTTGATTGCCGACAGAAGGCGTTCCGGATTGACAGAAAAGAGACTAAGGGCTTCGTTCCCCAAACTAAAATCGGTGGGATGACTTCCAATGACAGAAGATCATTCGGCGATGATCTCAAATCATGCAATAGTCGGTCGTTGATAATCTTCCTTCCCCAGAACACTATTGCCTCTCGGGTCCGATCTTTTCCCAAGCCGCCATCCCGGTGAAGCCGTTTTTCGTTCCTGACAGGTGCTCGGTGACCTAAGCTTATGCCTGCACCGTCAGCGGTCCCTTTGCGCCTCCTCTTCCCCTCATCAGACCACACTCGATTATTTATCTCTTGACGCTCTCGGAACTCGTTCCCCGCACCCCGAGGAAAAGGTTCTCGCAGCGACCAATTCACCCCCGGCTCCTGTTCCTACTTACTAGTCCTAACCATAATAAGCAACTTTCGATTTATCTCGTTCTTCTCCTCACGGGATTCATTTCCCCTTTGATACCCCAAAAGAAAGAAAGTTTCGAAAGGGTACCAGACTTGACCCTCCATGATCGGAGATACCATTTAAATTACATAGGACCGTATTGATTGGTATTACCTCTCGACCTAAATGGGAAAGAAAAGGTAAAAGAAAAGAAAATATTACGAACTGTGTGTGTCCCGCTCGGAAAAAGTTGGGAAGCTTGGGCCAATTCCAATTCCGGGTTCGCCCGCTCTGACCCTACCGGCTCCTCACCACTCTGACCACCTCACTGGCGGAGCTCTTCCAAACCCGACCTGCGATTTTAACTCCGATTCGGGCGGTGGTCTTAACTGTTGTTTTTCCCACTTGTGATCATGCATGAGCTACTGCTCTTCGCCTCGGTTCCCGCGCATCAGCACCATGAGCTGCTACAACAGCTGGCCGGGTTGACGGCCATGCAACCCCGTCACCGCTTAGAGAGGCGTCTGATCTTTAAGGCCTATCGGAAACCAGGGCTGATCAATACCCGTGTGGGTGCCAGTCAAGACCTGCAAGGCAATGAAATGCAGCGTCTGAATAAGATGCTGAATGGTGGCATGTTCTATACACAAGTGGTCGGACCGGTTTCCGAGGCCGACTTTGGTGCCCAATCCTCCGCTGCATCATCTGGTGACCCCGATGCGCCCATGTCTGGAACTGATTCTGGTGCAAAATTGGAGTCCCGCCCCTACAGTTATGAGAATCAACCCTGGAAACTGGAGTTTAGAGATATCCCCGAGGCGGGGACTCGTTCCGCCGTTACCACCCGGCTGATGGCCAGCGCTAGTTTGCCCAAGGGCGATATTACCACCCCCATGAACGCCTGGGGTTATAGGTCAGTTTTACGAAGGATCAAACAGTAGTCTGATTGATTACGTTTACTGATGACCCGGCCAGTTTTGTCACGGAGTACGTGGTAGAGGGGGATGTCTTGGTGTTGAATGATATTGTCATCTACCTACATCGAGTTCTGCATTATCCTGCAGAGAGCTCTGAATCACATGAACCGCGGCGACAGTTACCTCCTTTTCAGCAGATGTCCCCGCTGGAAAAAACCGGAAGCTATGTCTTACAGGCCTCTATTGCCGTCCAGGATGGAGGTAACCAGGAGATGATGAAGACCGCGTCGCAGCATTTGTTTGGACTCCGTGAGCAGCTGAAGTCGGCCGTCCGGCTGGAACAGGCGGATCGACTTTCCTTGGACACACGAGCGAAGTAATCGGATAGACGTCCTTTTTCATTCTTAGGTTTGCGTTTTATATACCCCTGGCAGCGCTTCCGTTAGATATTTTCTTAAATACAAATTACAAAACTTTGTGTATTCCAACTTGGCCCTCCATAGCAAGTTGCGAACTTGCTCTAAAATCATTCCACATGCAAAAGTCCTCCGTACGGTTCGCATGATTTTCTATCTCGGATCGGTGTTGCCCTTCCTGGTTAACACCAATTACCTTGCGGGGGAAGAATGAAGGGTGATGTGCAGAATGCTATTACACCGGTCATTGTCTTCGGACAAGTATGTTTTCCGTGAAGATCAGTACTGGGAATGGAAAACGCGACGCACACATACATTCTGATGGTCAAACACTAGAAGCTATACGGAGTAGCTCTTCACGCAACAGTAAATTAGCTTTACACCGTGAGAAGTGATTATATGCTCCATCCCAAGGTTATGTGGGTACCGATATTTATGACAGGATCATATCTGAATAAATAGGTATATTCAATCGTAGTAATAGCCGTCTCGACAATTCGTTCTCTCATTTTAGACCAGACTCAGAATTTCACACGCGGAGACTTACACCATCTCATTACCATATAAAGAACAGTCTATATTTCGGACTTCAGGCTCTTTTGGCCGAGTCACTGCGTGATGTCGTACAAGTAAGTATCCATAGATAGGTGGTTAACTCTATAGGGAACGGGATCCATCTATCTAGATCATGTGACTTCGTGAACCTAACGCGCGTTGCCCGCGTGTTCAGTGTCCGATGGAGCAACTTTGGATGGTGGCTCATTTATATCTTCTTCAAGAATAACGTCATTACCTGGTCAGATCAAACGACAATAATCCGTAGAAGTATTACAATCCCTTGATTACCCGCCAAAATCCTTTCGAGATTACAAGTCACCAGAATGGCCGGCTCGGTCAAACGGCCAGCGTCTCCAACTGGGACTATCTCCCCACCCCCGATAAAGAGAAAGATTGAATCCACACTGACAAGTATGTATTTCAATACCTGACCTCAGCTATAGTAACTCTTAGTTATGTGTTTTTAATACTAACTGATCCTACAGAACAATCGGTGTCATCATTCTTCACTCCCGCATCTCAAAAGAAGCCCGAGCAAATCACCTGGCGCATCGTGAACAACAGTCTCGTCGTCGGCAAATATGCGAAGAAAGCAGACCATAAACAGACAGAAGAGAAACCAAAGGTGGCTGCCTTTGATTTGGTGGGGATACATCTGCCAGGAGCACTTGAACGGTGTGGGAAACTGACGCGCCGTAGGACTCAACGTTAGTCTCGACGGCTTCTGGCAACACGTTTCCCAAGAACTCCTCAGACTGGAAGTGGTGTCATGATACAGTTCCCTCTAGGCTTAAGGAGTTGAGCGCAGATGGGTATGTGGGTTCTTCAGTCGATCGCTACGTGATGTTCACTACGTAGGGACGTCCTGGTTAAGCAGGTAGGAAACTGACACCACGCTCATTAGTTACTATGTCATCATCATATCGAATCAGAAGAAGATCAGCCTACAAAAGGAGATGAAAGGAGGGCGTTCCGATTCAAAAAGCCTCACGAACTTCAAAGAGAGGGCCTCCGCTGTCATGAAACAACTAGACATCCCTCTCAGTGTTTACGCAGCTACTCTTGACGATGGTTACAGAAAACCAAGAATCGGGATGTGGAAAGAGTTCCTAGATGACTATGATTTTGACGTGAACGGCGTGGACTTACCAAAATCGGTTTTTGTTGGGGATGCCGCTGGACGGCCAAATGACCATTCCCAGGTAGATCGGTAGGCAAGCCTCACCAGCGGTCATAGCTTAATCTGACGTTCCTCTTCAGTGGTTTTGCTGTAAATGCTGGAGTTCCATTTCAAACACCAGAGGAGTTTTTTCTCAACGCCGCGCCGGAGCCGCTCGTGGAACCATTCAACCCTTCTCTATATTTACAATCTGACCAGGCCGATGATGGTAAGTCGGAGTGCAGAGTCTAGCCTACATCTATTACGAGGTTGCCTATGGCTTCTTCGGCACCATGATCAAGACAATAACATATCGCCGACAGCTTTACCCCCATTTACCCGTCAAAGCGCTCTTGAGCTAGTGATCTTCTGCGGCAGTCCCGGCGCGGGCAAGTCGACTTTCTACTGGGATTATCTAGAGCCATTGGGATATGAACGAGTGAACCAGGACATTTTGAAAACGGTATGTTGGCAATCCGACCACGCCACACGTTTAATCGTCAATGCATTGCTACAGGATCCCTGAGCGGAGCATCGCTCATGCAGGGGCAGCAATTAAAGGTCAAGGAAAAGGAATACTAATAAGACCTGGCCAGCGCCCTAAATGTATCAAAGTCGCCAAGGAACACCTTGCGGCCGGAAGGTCCGTGGTAGTCGGTATGTAAACTCCTTGCATTAGTTTCCCAATTCTCTACAACATCCCCGCCGTTTGTCTTCCATCCTTAAACCCCAATACAAAAAGCCACAGCCGCAATGAACTAACCAGCTGATCTATCCTCCCTCGGGAGGAGGCACAATATTCCCTATTAGACAATACGAACGCAGACCCAGAAACAAGATCCCACTGGATCGAAGTCGCAAAGGAATTCGGCATTCCCATTCGCTGCGTATATTTCTCTGCATCCCCAACTCTCTGTCGGCATAATAATGCTGTCCGTGCTGCCAACAAGTCCTTGGTATGTATTTGTACTACCACCATTGTACTCTATGCCCCCCCAAAGACCCGAAGTTGCATAGACCCGGAGACATATCGTAGTACAGCGTCATGCGTTCTCATGATCTCCATACCCCCTCTTTCCCCCCTCTCTCCTGCCGAAACACCTGGCTAGACCTTTGGATCTTGACAATATGTGTACCCCTATATACATACAGTTATACCTTCCATCATGGCAGGCTAATGTGTGGATGAATGTTCTTTAGAATCCGGAAAGCAGGACCCTACTCCCCGGAATCGCTTTTGGGGATTTCGGCCGTCGGTTCAAGGAGCCGACGATGGCGGAGGGTTTCAAGGATATTGTACGAGTCGACTTCCGCTTCCGCGGGGATGAAGAATCGAAGAAAATCTGGAAGCAATACTGGGTTTAAACTCAGTTCTTGTCCAAACTTTGTTGAGCTTTATTGAGACCCTGGGTGTACAGATCACTGTATGTCAGTGTTGTACGGAATATTGAATTTCCGGTGCATTGGACGTCATATCTGTATACATACGCAAAGCAATTCCTAGCTATCCATACTGTGAGATGCTTGCTGTAATCAGTTCGAAATTCAAATCTTCCCACATTAGTCATATCATTATGCAGATGCTGGGTATAATGCGTATTATATACATGTGAGGCATAGATCAATAATGCTTTTTGAGACACGAACTTTTCCATGCGATACAATGGACGCGAACTCAATCAAACATGTCTCGGGATATATCAAGGAATGAAATGGTCAAAGCACCAGTGGCGTCCCCTCCAGAGCGCCCTTCTGCTCTCTCCCAACCTCCTGTTTTTATTCCGATTGACCAGGTGATTTCCTCAATAGTTATGCAAGGAATATTGCTGATAGGGTAGAACACAATGAGAACATAACAGTAAACCGTGGTACCATTTACACGCGCCTGTAAGGCGACCTCCGGAGACTCCACACATAGAAAAACAAAGGAAAAGGCAATTATCATAAGGAATGCATTGCGTAATTGCGAGTCAGTAGTCGCAGACGCAGGTCGTCAGTCATCATTATCGGATCACAGCAAACCGGAAAAAGAAAGAAAGGAAAGGCATTATTCGTCACGCTTAATCAATCATTCGAGAGGCGTAAAAGTCATTAGATGTTGTACATCAATGCCTCTCGCGGTAATTCTATGGTCATCAAGAAAATTTGGTCCCTAGGACTAGACAGACCAAGGGTTCTAAGATCGTGACATCAGGTCCTGGAAGAATCTGAAAAAATTGCGTTTCAACGACTGACTCCGACAGAGCCCCGATCCGCTGGTGGCCGGGGCAATAATCTTCATGGGGCCGACAATCTCTCCGTCGCCTAACTCGGGGAATTTCTCATCATGGAGGCGTGGAAGCTTGATCTGTTCGCACGGGTCGCACTGAGACACGGTGAGGTGTAGACGATGTCCTTCTGCGGCCTCTAGTTGGGAAAGCATCATCTCGTGGTGGTGCTTCCATTCACTATTGATACAATCCCACTTCTCCTGCGTCAACTTGTAGATTGTGGATGTGATCCCGTAATGCTCGCCCGTTCGGACAAGGTGCTTGGTGAAGTTGCATTGTGCCAAATCCCACTGGGCTCGTAATTGACGAAATGATTCGAGATCGTACATCTCGGGCACGTACGGCTCCGGTTGAATTGTAAAATTGGCATGACCGAGCTTGTTCGCCCACTCGTCGTTCGGGTCTGATAGAAAATAGGGCGGTGCATCTACCGACGCGGGTCGTACCGTACTCGCGCGCGGACGATTGAATGACGAAATGGACGGCCTGGTAGACAGCGGAGGCGACGGCAGGCTGGCCAACCGTGTGTCCCGGGATGCTGCACCGTCAAAGGCATCCTCCGACATGTCCGCCACGGATGGTGATTGCAAAGGAGAGTGGACTCGGGATGTCACTGGATACGTTGGTTGGTCGCCCATGAATGGAGGTAGCAGGGGGGTGGTCGCTTTAGGGCTCGCGTCATCGTTATCCTGGCTGTGACGGTTTGCTTTTGCGATATCAATGGGTAAGGCCCCAGACTCACTGAGTCGCTCTTCAAAGATCGTCCTGGCGGGTGAAGGTGGCACGGTGACGGAATTGACTCGACTAACGGGAACGATAGTAGGACCGACAAGGATAGAGGATGCGGAATTGGTGCGAGACCGCATTGAGAGGGCATCCAATGCATCGACACCATCGGAGCCCTGTCTAGACTTCCAACGATTCGAAATGGTCGATATGCGTGAACCGATCCGCGACAGACCCTTGGCGGAGACACTATCCGAGCGTCTCTTTTTGGGTGAATGAGGGATGTCCATGCCGGCATCCGTGAGATCGTACTCGTCCGAGTAGTCGACTGAGGCAAAGTACGGGCCCTCAAACTCGGACAGATCTTGGTCGAAGTGTTCTGTATTGGTCAATACAATTGTATAAGTATAATCGGAGAAAAGACTCGAGAACGGAGAGGGGGGCTGGGAGCAAGGGTCACAACATACGGAAATAATCCTCCTCGAGATCCCTAGCAGGGGCTCCACAGGATTCTTCCTTCACTCCTGTCAAGGGATTCCTGGACGCGATCTCCATCGAGTTATTATGACCCGGCGAGGAGACCAAAGAGGACACGGAGCTCGAAAAGCGGGTATGTCCTTTGGCAGAGAAGAGAGAGACGGCGGGAGAGACCGGTGTCGACGAGGTGTTGGTCAACGGTGACTGCGGTGGTTGTCGGTATGACTCTATCATGACTTCGGAACTATCCCGCCCTTTGGTGTCTATAAGTTGGGAAAGTTTCAACATGGTGCACGATTCCAGAAATGACGTGTTCTTGTAGAAGAGGTTCTGACGACCAGAATCGTGAGGCTTCCTTTTTCACGTGCAGAGAGTGGACGTGAGGAGAAGCAATGCGAAACGCAGGGAGGGAAGAGATGGTTCGAGGTCAATTTGGAAGAAGAAGCATTGTCCACTGATTTTCTTTCCAAAATGTTTTTTTTTTCTTATTAAAATTCAGGCAGCGGCGAAGGGGGAAAATGAAGGGTTGACAGAGATCACAGCTGAATGGATCAAAGGGTAAACCAAATGACTTGTTTGATTGTTTACAAGCCGATGGGGAAAAACGTGGCGTGGCGGTGAATCGATATCCAGAAAGGATTCAAAAAACAGAGACGCCCGAAGTAAAGACTCAGGGTTTGAGTCAGGTAGAATATGCGCTTCCCACGAACCGGTAAGCGTAAGAAAAGAAGCAGTAGTCCGTCGGACGAAACAGGCTGACTGGCTGGAGAAGGACAAACGCAGGCGGTAGGGCAGGCAAGATGGAAGACGTGGAGCACGTCAGTGGATGCCGTGCGAACAGCTGGCGGGGTGTTCGTGAGGCCCAAAGTCCAAGGGCACTTGACAGCTCAGTGTGCACGCTGCAGTCAATCAGAACCCGTTGGCTGGAAGCCGAGCGATGCAACAACAATCTCAACGTAGTAGAGGTAAGGGAAGCCACGGAATCGACGGGCCGTGAGTCAATTCGAGGGTCACGGATTAAAGAATCCAATTCCACAAGCCGAGGGAAGAATAAGGATATTGGAAATGACACAAGAAAAGAGGAGAAAAAAAGAGGGAACCCGAGGCAGAGATGTGAAGGTATAATATGAAAACTTTCGAAAATGATATCAAGAAATCACAAATTCTTCATTGAATACTCTTCTAAGACGACAAGAATAGCTATCAAATCACAAACTCTGTTCAGAGGCGAATCTCCTTCAACCAGCCAATAAAAAATCTGGGAGCAACTTTTGATATCCAACACTTGGGGGTTGTTTTTTTCGCCCTTGTTGAATTATTTTTTTTTTCTTTTTCTTTCTTTCTTTCTTTCTTTCTTTTTTTTTTTTTTCCCTTTCCTTTTCTTTTTTCACTCCGGTTTTGTTTCTCTCACATTTCTTCCCCTCACAGTCTTCTGTTTTTAGTCCGTATCAAGAATCATTTTTTTCTTCGTTTGGTTTTTATCTTTGTTTTATTTTATTTTCAATTTTTATTTCCCTTTTTCTTTTTTAATCCATTGAATTTACTTACCAATCTGACAGCCCCCAACCTCAAGTAAGCATGTTGTTTCCCTGCCCATGCCGAGATATGGAGGATCGTCTAAAATTTGCCCAGTTTAGTTGTGGCTCCGTACAGTTCCGTGGGAGTTCAGTGGTTCCCTTCAATACCTTGCCACGGTTCTTCCATCTCTTTCTTTTTTACCTTTTTCTTCTTTGCTTCTTTGGTTTTCGACCGGATAAATGATACGGTACATGGCCACCATGATTTTCGATCAGGGTAAGAGATAAATATGGAAAAAGAAAAAAAAAGAAAAGAAAAAAGGTTTTAGATTTGATCAAAGAAGGAAAATTATACTTTAAAAATTAAAAAAAAGAGGAACCGATTCCCGTGTACCCGCGAGATCCAACGGCTTCTTCCCACCGTCATTGCCCCCCTTCTCTAAAAAAAAAAAAAAGACAAAAAAATCCAAGCGAGGAGGGGACCCCCAGTGACGAACTAATTGTAATCCGTAGGGTAAAGAAGAACAAAGGCCGTTGTCTAGACTCCGGCGGACCTCGACTGGTCGAGCACAGGACCCCATCGGATTGACATAGCTCCAGCGGGCTGGTGGATTCCTTCTAACGCCGACCGTCATCGTCATTCTGCCTGGGACGAAAGTACCATGACCTATCAGTTTCATCGGCCAAGTCCCGAGACCAGGGTGGTTGGACGAAGGACACTCCCATTTCTCAGAGAGGATAATGATGCATAATGTACGGAGTATATATGTATATATGTATGTTCGTGTTGTCGCCAGCTCCAGTAACCTGGTGTTAGTTATCCAGGGTGTCCTGTATGCACGTACTTTTCAATGTAGGTATGTAAGTAAACCCCCCTCACCACCTCCTCCATCGGAGGGAGGATGTGTGCCATAGTATCCAATACATCGAATTAGAGTACGGAGTACCACCGACGGAGAAAGTCGTCCACACCTGCCCTCTCAGGTAATCATGTCTAGCACTGTCAGTCGCGATGGGTCAGTACCACGAGAAGCCTGGTTACTTGGTGACGCATCGCGCTCCAGAGGCCCTTCAGGCTTGTGGGTGCCGACGTCAGGCCCACATGGTCGGAGCCAGCAGAAGGGAACCTTCATGGGCTCGAACTTCTTTGCAATGGGTTGCGGGAACGAGAAACCCGCCCGACCACTTTTTACAAACCCGACGAAAGGACCGAAAGGACAGAAAGAATATTCGCGCGGGCGAGTTCCAGCTGGCGGAGGTCTTTGGTTCTGGCATGCTTGGCAACTGTTGTCAGCCTTCTAGAAAAGCCGATTCCCCGAACTCGGGCTTGGAATGCTTTTTCCATGACAAACCGAGATAAGTGAGCTTGGTAATCACTTCCCAGCGGAATCGGTGGATACATCGACTTGATTTATCCATCATGGTGGTAATCGTCTGTGTATACGAGTCCGGCGTTTGGAGTATAGAGTACAGAGTACATAGTACACATGTGAGGATCATCGGCTCGCGTTCGGCGATTGATGAAGCATATTTGATCTACCGTGTTGGTCGTGCTATGTACAGTCAATGGGATTACTAGCATTATTTGACCAAATTCGGTCACGATTGCGCAATATGAAAGGTCGTGTTGCCAGCTAACTGTACATGGTCTAGTAGTGATACCTTAGTCCATTAGTATCTCCCAAAGAGGGATCAATCCAGCGGGTACTATCTCCGACTGCACGTGATGTACAACTCCCAATGGGCCCTCGGAACAGGAACTCCAGATTCACTTAACGCCATTTACGTAGGCCTCGAGATAGCATTGTCATTTTTGTCCCACTTTCAGGCAAATCCATTGGGTAATCATACGCACCGGTCAGGCAATAGTCTGCCTGCTCAAAGACATCCTCCATGAAGTCCGTCTACTCGCTTTTGCTGAGCGCTGCTCTCACGGCAGCTTCTCCGCACCCCGCATTTCCACAATCACCTCTGGGCGTGCCGACAACATCGACATCGTCACCATTAACTGGGACGTTCAATTCCGCCGAGGAAGTGATCAATGCCTCGCCCTTCCTATCTTTTCACCGAGATATTGTGCAGATTGAATCGATTTCTAGCAACGAGCACAATGTTGGGGAGTTCATCGCCAATTTTCTCCGCGCCCGCAACTTCACCGTCATTAAGCAGGCAGTAACTTCGTCGTCCCAGGCGGAAAACCAAGAGCGCTTCAATATTTTTGCCTACCCGTCTTCCAATACCCCGGAAATTCTCCTTACCAGTCACATCGATACTGTCCCACCGTTTATCCCGTACTCCCTGGACACCGACTCGACAGCGGATAAGGACCCGTCCACGATTCGCATCTCCGGTCGTGGCTCCGTCGACGCCAAAGGCAGCGTCGCAGCCCAAATCTTCGCTGCTCTCGACGTTCTTGAGCAAAATCCCAGTGCACCCCTGGGCTTACTCTTTGTCGTCGGCGAAGAAACCGGTGGAGATGGCATGCGAGCATTCTCCGAATCCTCACTCAACCCCGCTCCTTCCGCCTTCCACACTGTGATCTTCGGTGAACCCACCGAACTCGCTCTCGTCTCCGGCCACAAGGGCATGCTGGGCTTCGAAATCGTCGCCAAGGGCCATGCTGCCCACTCCGGATACCCCTGGCTCGGCCGCAGCGCCATTTCCGCCGTCCTCCCGGCACTCTCCCGGGTCGACCAGCTGGGCAACATCCCTGCCGACAAGGGCGGTCTCCCTTCCAGCCCGAAGTACGGTAACACAACCGTCAACATTGGCAGAGTAGAAGCCGGTGTCGCTGCCAACGTCGTCCCCGCCATTGCTCGCGCTGACGTCGCCGTGCGTCTGGCCGCGGGCACCCCTGACGAGGCACGGGATATCGTCCGACGAGCCGTGCGCGATGCCACGGATGGCAACCCCGATGTGTACGCGGAGTTCAGCACCCGCTCCGAAGGATATCCTCCTCAGGACCTAGATACGGACGTTGATGGCTTCGACATTACGACGGTAAACTACGGTACGGATGTGCCGAATCTGCAGATCCACGAGCGTGAGGACGGCCCCGTTCGTCGTTACCTGTATGGTCCCGGCAGTATCCATGTTGCCCATGGGGATAATGAAGCTATAACTGTTGGGGATCTGCAGGAGGCTGTTCACGGATATCGGAAGTTGATTGAGGCGGCTTCGCAGCGTCGTTAAGATTGATCCTCGGTTTGCGTGCGATGTTATATACCCATGTATCTCACATCGAGGTAACTTTAAAGTTAGAGCATATATGCCCTAGTTGCTTTAGATCGAAGTTTGATTTGCTTCACGAAACCTGTCAACGACGGAGAGACGATGGCAGTGTATTATTCCCAAGGAATCGCGTCTACTATCAGAAGGTACAATACTAGGCCCATAGCTAGAGATATAGAAACGAATACCAGTTCAAGGTATATAGCATACCAATCCAACGCTAAAGTACTCCAACCAAAGAATATCCCAAATCGCTCCCAAATAGCTACATAGAAAGCAGTGATCTTTACGTCCCTCTTAGGGAGCTTACTCTTGCCCCTGCGGTGCCTGAGTCGGCACCGATTCAGCTTCACTGCTCTTCCGCTCCCATCCCGTCTTCAGTTCTCCCCCTAACTTGAACCGGGGGAATGGGTGCGCCTCGGTGTTGAAGACGTTTTCCTCGAGTGGAATGAAGTCGCGATCCGAGAAGAGTAAATAGAAGTATTTAAGGGTTTCTGCCATCCAGAAACTCTCCATATTGTCTCTGCGGGTGGGTGGGATGATATTGACGTTGTTTAGGGAGGTGAAGCTGATAATTCGCGACCGGCTTGGTTCGGCTGGCTTATCGGAGGTGGGATCGGAGTGATGGTTGTCGTGCCCGACGATAGCGGTGTGTCGGATGAATGATTTGAACATCTCCCAGCCCCAGTGACGATAGGTTTCGTCGCCGGTGATTCGGTACATGTAGAAGAGGGACTCGAGGGTCTCGGGGCGTTGGAGGTTGTGTCGGTCTTGCATGTGGATATCGAGGTCGTTTTCCCAGTTTAAAGTTTCATCGTCTAATGGGTAGAGCGGCTTGGACTTCAGGGGAAGGTCTTCTTGTTGAGATTTTCGGTTGCCCGTGGTTAGAGTGGATTCTGGGTACATATCTTGCATCGTGACCGGGGGATGGTCCAGTTTGAAGTAGGTGATTTCAGCCGCAAGACCTGTCTTTGTGGCGAGGTAAGTCGCCCAGCATGTCTTCATCAACTCTTTCGCGAGGAGGATCTCTTCATCATGCCGTTGACTCCAATTGGGCGACTTTTTCGCTTGCGATAGCGGTACCCCCCCAGTTGCGCCGAGCGCAATCGTTCCGGGTAAGAAGCAGACAAGGTGATCCATTTTGGGTGAGAGTTTTCCCTCTAGGCCCTCGGGCCGTTCTCCCACAATCGCCAACTGGGCGCGCTTTGTATAGGCAATCAAGTGTTTGCGGATCCCAATCAGCGCTTCGTCCCACATCTCCTTATAGACCGGCTCCTGTTCCGATGTTTGGAGATACTGCTTGATGAGATATTCTGGCAAGGTAGAGGTGTCAGTTATCGGACAATGAGGGAGGAGCTCCCAGAAAAGACTGTACCATAGTAGGAATCGCCTCTACTACCGAGGCGGATGTTGTTCCCTCTGAACTTGCCGGTATCCGGATAGATATAGATGGGAACCAGACCATCCTCCATTTTCGACCCATCCACTACTTCCATCACCTTCTCCGCCATCCGCCAGTACTCTGCTTCCCCGGTTAACTTAGCCAAATACTTGAACTCCAGCTGCACAGTCGTCGCTTCGGCTGTAGAGGAAGCGCCATTATCCGAATGTGCCGGTATACCCTGGGACGTTTTGAGATTGATGCTGGCGTACGGTACCCCAGAGTTTGACTCGAATGCCCCTGATAACCGCTCTGCGAGGTCGGTCGCCTTCTCAATATACAAGTCCTCGTCGCCCGAGGCTGGTGCCAGATCTGTATACGTGGTGGAAAGATAATGTGCTGACAAGAGACCGCCTAACATGCGAATGGTGGTTTCAAAGGTGCTGACATCGTGGTTCTGATTGTATTGTAGCGAATGATGAATCCAGTCACGGGCATGCTGGACCCGTGACGTGAGGTTCATCATTATCATCGTGTCAAGCGCGTCAACGATTATCCAGCCCAACCCACCTTCGACCATGTTCTTGCCATCCTTAGCAACTGGACGATATTGGTCCAGCCCTGCCCAGCATTAGTATATCGTTATTGACTGCATAGGGAGCGACACCTTAAAACATACCCCACCCATTCTTCGCGTAGTCATCCCAACTAACAATGAATGCATCCCTGACTTTCTCTCGCCTGGCTGCCCAGTCGATACCCTTTAGTTCTTGGCCATTGTAGGCTGGCTCCTTGTCCAAGCTCTGCAACCAAACCCAGAGCTCTTCTCCTTTCTCCGACTCTAGCGTCTTTATCTCAGGCTTGCCCCAACTACCAGACATATAATACCATAGCGAAACTAGAAAGAATAGGCAAAGTCCGCCGTAGAGAACTCTCCTCTGCCTAACTTTTGGGCCTGTGCGCCGAGGCGCAAAGTAGGGCTTATCTTTGTACATGGGAAGGGTACGACCGTCGCCGAAGAACGTGGTCAGATTGTTAGATACCCCAGCGGACTGCGAAAGTCCGTATCCGCCTAGCTTAGGCCCGGGACTGCGACTCGTACGCCAGGCGTTGTTCTCGAGGGGTGGTTGGGGAGAAAGCGACGGATTTCTGGGAGGGTAGTGGAACGACATAGCCGTGGGCCCTTGTGCCACTTGTTTAAGGTCGTATGGGATAGAGGTGGGCCTTCACGGAACCCACTCGCTATAGCGAAGAAAGTGAGCAGTCAATCAGCATAGGCGCTAGCTTTGTCTTTTATCTTCGCGAGGCACGGATAATTGTCTATTCCCTCTGTCCACTGATCGGTGTCAAACGCTTGGACGAAGAGGCAGAGCTATCTATAAGGCAAAATTGGTGACGGGAAAATAAATCCTACAAGTATGGGGGAGAAAACGTTAGAAATATTGCTTACAACCATGGTTCACATAGCAGTTGTATGGAGTAATAATGACAGGTTGAAGCTAGGTGTCAACAACTAACCAAGCGTGCAGCCTTGTACTCGATTGCCTATTGCAACGCGTTTTGTAGAGCTTTACAAATCGTTATTCATGAAAATGAACACAGGTGAAATAAATTCATGAGGTGCGCAGCACGAGAGTCGGGATTTGGGTTGGACAATTATTGCGATGGGGGAGGGGATTTCATTCTGGGATTTAAAACTATAAGAGTAAGAGGGCACGCATGAAACAAGTGGAGACCGCTGCTGAATGCTGTGATTCTGCCAATGAAATGTCTTGGTCCTGAGCAAAGGTAGTACAGAGTAGTAAAAGGTTGATCCCAATTCTCAGGGAAAATGGATAATAAATCATTCGGGGAATCTCTATCCCTCTTTCATTCTCGACCCTTCGTATACGCCTTCTGATCATTGAAAAAGAACGACCTACCTCCTACCACTTTACGTCGTCAAGACCCGCCCATATGCAGAGCGGAGCCAAATACGGAGTCGATGGACCCTTTTTATGGCGGAAGTTTGTTTTTCTTGGCTCTCTCATACTTTGGCCACCTGGCGATTGCGAAAGTATTTACCTACAGTAGGTAGTGGGTAGTTCAAGAGCATCTCTGATATACCACCTTCTTAAACCGTACTGGTAGCTTGTTCTCAAAGTAGTGCCTTTCCTCCGTCCCAGATGGGGTATTCGATCTGCGGTGGCTAGAAAGATATTCGTAATCCTTTCGCAATCCCAAGAATTCTCGGCTGGTCAATACTCCATAGGAAGAATTAACAAAAGTTAGAAAAAAAAAAAAAAAAAAAAAAAAAAAAAAAAAAAAAAAAAAAAAAAAAAAAAAAAAAAAAAAAAAAAAAAAAAAAAGGAAAGGAAAGAAAATAAAGAGGGAGAGAGAGAGTGTGTGTGTGTCACTCAAGCTAGTACTTATGGAGTGTTCTTCACCCATTTTGATAAGTACCTGCGTCTTTTATAGATGGTAAGCGATTTACGATTCAACCCAAGTCTTAGATCCAGCAACGCGCGGTATGCGCGTCATCCTACGGGGTGTATTCTCTCTTAAAATCAAGTCAGCATCGTGAAAAGCTCGTGAAACCGATTGCATATTATCTAAACATGACCGATTTTGTAATGTCATCCCCGGAGAAATCTATGTCACTAAAGCTTCTGGTACTCCAGCTTGCCTTCCAGCTTCTTAGCTTCCGCCACCTTGCGCACCGCCCGGTTGAAGTCGTCTTGGTTGATAGCGTCTCGGTAGTCTTTAATGGCAAACAAACCACTGTGTTCATTGTCAGAAACATCGACCGCAAACAGAAGAGTAGGAATGAAATAACATACGCTTCCGTGACAACATTGCGCAGATCTGCTCCATTAAGACCGTCACTCATCTTCACGACGCTCTCAAAGTCAATATCACCCTCGAGTTGGACAGTACTGGAGTGGATCTTCAAGATCTCCAAGCGACCAACTTCATTGGGCAGAGGAATCTCAATCTTGCGGTCCAAACGACCCGCTCGCAACAGAGCGGGATCAAGAGTATCAGGTCTGTTCGTAGCCATGATGATTTTCGTCTTCCCGAGGTAATCGAACCCATCCAATTGGTTTAGAAGCTCCATCAACGTCCGTTGGATTTCACGGTCAGCGGATGTACCCTCAGAGAACCGTCGACCACCGATAGCGTCGATTTCATCCATGAAGATAATACAAGGCTCATGCTCCTTGGCGTACCCGAACATTTCTCTTATTAACCGTGCAGATTCACCGATGTACTTGTCGACGATAGCAGACGACACAACTTCAAATGATCAGCAAAGGCGTCCTGTATTCTCAATGAACATAATGCGCTCACCTTTCAAGAAGTTGGTCTCCATAGAGCTTGCCACAGCACGTGCCAGCAGTGTCTTTCCTGTACCAGGAGGTCCATAAAGAAGGACACCCTTGGGGGGTTTAATACCAACTCGGTGGAAAAGCTCGGGGTTTTTGAGCGGCAGCTCGATCACTTCTCGTAACTCTCGGATTTGTTCGTTCAAGCCACCAATACCAGCGAAGTTGACTTGTCCCGGGTCCTCCAAAGACATGTTGTATACTAATGGGTCGACCTCCCGTGGCAGCATCCGCATGATCGTGAGGGTTGTCATATCAAGGGCGACACGAGTCCCTTGTTTCAGTTTCGACTTATCGACCTTCGAACGGCAACCGACGACATAACGGGGACCGGATGATGCCTTAACAATGACTATGGTTTAAAGTTAGCCCATGTAAACTGTAAATTGAAGCAGTCCACCATTCATCACATATTATATGTAGTGTTTTATGCTGGAAACGAAGCATTTTCGGAGTAACCACCGAATAAACGTACATCTCTCCTCATCCAGCTGCTTCAACACTTCACCAATGATCTGACCCACACTCTGTAGGGCCTTAATGTTTTCCTCCGAGATATCAAACTCCCTTTGCAAATCCTTAATTCCCATCCGAAGCGATTTGAGCTTGGCCTCCCATTCTCGGAGCTCCAGTAGGCTCTTCTTGTAGTCCTCGAGCGCCTGCTCTCTCTCCGGGTCAGCAGCGCCGTTCATTGTGAGACCTCACAGATGATCCGACGGAAACGATCCAAAGAGAAAATTATAAAATCAGAAAAGGATGGAATAGGAATATACGCGGGAGAGATAGAGATGGCAGAGATGGTAACCGCGGATGGCTCGTTGGGGGTATCTGATCTCAATGCTATCATCAGCTCGGCAAGCTGTAGAGGAGCTTACGGAGCCACCAAAGCCATGAGGTCACCTGACCCCAACATGGGACACCCAGCCAGGTCACATGGAATTGATGTCTGACTGATGTGCGCAGTATCTATTATCCGGGTCGCTCAGGCATCAAGGTGTCAGCGGGTAACCTCTGTTTTCGTCATTACGCAATATGGAAATTTCCAGACAGTCTCCAGTGTTCGAAAGACATTTGAATCAATTGACGTGAACCCTTCGGGACAACAGAGCAAAATCAAATCTAGTGTAACCGGACAAGGGAATAACCCCCAATGGACACCAACAATCATATTAGCTTTTACCGACCATCCTCTAGAATGATATTTCGTCCATCCATTCATACATACATACACATATATATGGACTAGTATACCTGTCAAGTCGACAACCCTGCGGTTCTAACCTAGGCATAGTATACATAGAATGATCTACTACCAAGGTACCCCAGAAACAAGAATGTGAATCTTTTAGTAACTATGGAGGGCAACCATCAATATACCCGCGTTACCCCGAGGGAATGCGGAAGATCTCGCGGCAGGGTTGGCACAGTTGACAGAGAGCTCAGCCAGCGAGAGTCACAGAAGACTGATGAGCCCCACCATTTCATTGGAAAGATTCGGGAGGACGAGGTCGAGAGCTTTTGCCGGGGAAGAGGACGAGGATGGTACAAGAACTAGACCTTTCCAACTTTAATTGTTGACACCTATTTAATTCTCTCCTTCTTCTTTATTTATCTTTTTTTTTTTTTTTTTTTTTTAACTCCATTTCTCCAACGACGACCGTCCCATTGCTAGTCTCCTAACTCTGTCTTATCGTCATCTCCCATAGGTGAGTTTGGTTGTTTTGTTTTCCACTGAGATCATTACCTCCTACCCCACCATCCCACTATTTTGTTACGGTAACCATGACCCCTCCATGGCAAAGAGAGAGGAGGACGAGGACGATCAGGAAACTCGATCATCGTTCTATCGTGCCTCGTCGTCATACCACAATCGTCTCATCTTAATTGACATCTCCCTGAATGTCGTTGTAACTGTTCCTGACTCTCGGTCAACTGAAATTGAATCTCCCCACCACTGCCTCTACCTTGTACTCCGTCACTGAACCATCCGATCATTCTTTTTGGGTCGTCGGTGAACACAACCCCCGCTGCTAGTCTCCTCCCAACACCGATCCAGAACTGTTTTGATTTTCCATTCCCGTCGTTTATATCTGTCGTCCCTCCTCCCTTCCTTTCTCTTTTCTTCTGTCCTCCAAATTAGTCGACTGAACAATTCCTCAGCTCGTCAAAATGCCTATCACCAAGATCCACGCCCGCTCTGTTTACGACTCCCGCGGTAACCCTACCGTTGAGGTGGACGTTGTCACCGAGACTGGTTTGCACCGCGCTATCGTTCCCTCTGGAGCTTCCACTGGTTAGTGACCCCACCTGACAACAGCGCATTTTATGTACTTGTGTTCGTTCTCACATACTGACGGTCAAATTATAGGCCAGCACGAGGCTCACGAGCTCCGTGACGGTGACAAGACCCACTGGGGTGGAAAGGGTATGTATTTAGATGCTCCCCGAATGCTTGTCTGGTGCAACAGAGGCTGACTGTACCGACGGAGAACAGGTGTCCTCACGGCTGTCAAGAACGTCAACGAGACCATTGCCGACGCCGTCATCAAGGAGAACCTTGATGTCAAGGACCAGTCCAAGGTCGACGAGTTCCTCAACAAGCTTGATGGAACTGCCAACAAGTCTAAACTCGGTGCTAACGCCATCCTCGGTGTCAGCTTGGCCATTGCCAAGGCTGGTGCTGCTGAGAAGGGTGTCCCTCTCTACGCTCACATCTCCGACCTCGCTGGTACCAAGAAGCCCTATGTGCTTCCTGTCCCCTTCCAGAACGTCCTGAACGGTGGCTCTCACGCTGGTGGCCGTCTGGCTTTCCAGGAGTTCATGATTGTTCCTTCGTAAGTACCCGGGCTCAGATAACGTGCCCTCATTCTCCTGCAGCTATATTAACATGGCTGATAGCGCTGCCCCCTCTTTCTCTGAGGCTCTCCGCCAGGGTGCTGAGGTCTACCAGAAGCTCAAGTCTCTCGCCAAGGCGAAGTACGGCCAGTCTGCTGGCAACGTTGGTGACGAGGGCGGTGTTGCTCCCGATATCCAGACTGCTGAGGAGGCTCTTGACCTCATCACCGACGCCATTGAGCAGGCCGGTTACACTGGCCAGATGAAGATTGCCATGGACGTTGCTTCCAGCGAATTCTACAAGACTGATGTCAAGAAGTACGATCTTGACTTCAAGAACCCCAACAGCGACTCCTCCAAGTGGCTCACCTATGAGCAGCTGGCCGACCTCTACAAGTCTCTTGCCAGCAAGTACCCCATTGTCAGCATTGAGGACCCCTTCGCTGAGGACGACTGGGAGGCCTGGAGCTACTTCTACAAGACTTCTGACTTCCAGATTGTTGGGTATGTAATCTTCTTCCATTCAGTGTCATATTCGAACCGAATTAACATGAACTCTACAGTGATGACTTGACCGTCACCAACCCTCTGCGGATCAAGAAGGCCATCGAGACCAAGGCTTGCAACGCCCTTCTTCTCAAGGTCAACCAGATCGGTACCCTTACTGAGTCCATTCAGGCTGCCAAGGACTCCTACGCCGACAACTGGGGTGTCATGGTTTCCCACCGTTCCGGTGAGACTGAGGATGTCACCATTGCCGATATCGCTGTCGGTCTCCGCTCTGGCCAGATCAAGACCGGTGCTCCTGCCCGTTCCGAGCGTCTGGCCAAGCTGAACCAGATCCTCCGTATCGAGGAGGAGCTTGGTGCCAACGCCGTCTATGCTGGCGAAAAGTTCCGCACCGCTGTCAACCTGTAAATGAACCGTATGATTATATGACGTCCGCCAACCAACCTTGCACATTATCGAAGATGGTTGGACTCGGGACCGCACTGCATACCCGGGTTCCCGCTACTTGGAGCCTCTACAGCACTACAGATGATATTCTCTTAAGATTTATGATGACGATTCGATTAGGCCAGATATAGTGGCAGTAATGCAATAAAAGTGCAATTCAAAAAAAAAAAAACCCCCCCCCTCTAATGTAGACCGTCTCTAGTAGCTATAGTCTACCAGTATAGATCTATACTTTATGATGATGTTGTCACCGGGTGTCTGATGAATGGGCGTGAACTGTATCAGTACACGTGACCGCTAATAGCCCCACCACCAGATTGTTTTATCATGAAGTTATTGTGAGGGACGGCTCACTCGCCCACATTAAACTCGCCTTCGGGTTATTGATTCACCCACGACGAGCCTCTTGCTGAGATACACGGCACTTACTTGCCCTGTTATCGAGTCATTAGAAGTTTGAAGCTTTTGCCGCTTTATACATTCTTCACTAGCCATGGCGCCCGAACGGTGGGGTAAGGATATCTGAAATTTGTGGCCTTCTGCATACAGTCTGCTTTTTTTTTTTTTTTTACCAAAACACTTTACTGACAGTTCCCACTTTTCTTTCGCAGATGATGAGGAGGACAGTGCCTCGCCTCCTCCTGTGGCTCACCGTCGCAGATTTGACGATGAAGAAGAAGAGGAGGTGGGTTAATTTTTCTTATTTGCTATTTTACCCCACTACATATAGCACATATGACCATCGCCCGGAGACACAACCTGCTAATCAGCTGGAATATTCAACAGGTTCTCGACTCCTGGGACGCCGCCGAAGACTCCGAAGTAGAGCGGGAAAAGGCAGCCAAGGCGGCCGAAGCCAAGGCTAAGGCTGACGCCGAAGCTGCCGCAAATAAGAAGAGCAAGTCGCAGCGTATACAGGAGCACAAGGAAGAGCGCAAGAAGAAGGCCGAGGAGGACGATTCCGAGAGCGAGGAGGACGATGCCGACAAGAGAGCCCGTCTGCGCCGCGCCCAGAAGGATTCCGATCTCAAGCACGCTGAGGATCTGTTCGGTGATATCGACCTCAACCGGAACCGCGGAGCTCCCAAGGCTATCGTTATTAGTGACTCGGCCGACCCGACGCAGGCCGTCGATCTCTCTGCCATGCCTCTGTTCAAGCCTACCACTAAGGACCAGTTCGCTCGTTTGACTTCCACCCTTATCCCGCTCTTGACTCCCCATTCAAAGAAGCCTCACTATTCCCTCTGGGCGCAGGAGTTCGCTAAGCAGCTTGTCAAGGAACTGAACAGCGCAGATGTCAAGAAAATTGCTAGTGCTATGACTACTATGAGTAACGAAAAGATGAGAGAGGAGCGCGCCGCTGACAAGGGTAACAAGAAAAGTAAGGCGGCCAAGACGAAGGTGTCGCTGGTTACTTCCAGAGATAACAAGCTTGATGCTGATTATGACAATGGTGATGATGGATTGGGTGATGACGATTTCATGTGATTGATCATTCCATCTCATTTTACTATTTTCGTTTCATCTCATTTCTTTATTGCTTCCTTTCGTGCCCTCATAGTTGCCAGTTCCCTGTCAGTATGACATGATGCCTGCCGACTCTTGTACATCCGCCCCTAAACAGTTCCTTCGCGTCGTTTCTGTTCTTTATGTTCCTTGCCTCCTCTCTTCTGGTAGTATATATTAATACGATAGAGACGTGCGTTACTCACTCTGCCCTAGAATGCTATTTTTCGGTCAAGTTGAGCGAGACAAAAGTTGAAGATGGATAGAGGAAACTTTTCAGACAGGTAAAACCTGGAAATTGTTCTTAACACGGGACTTTGCATATGTTTATATACTTGTCGCTAAAGACAACCGTATACAACTAGCTTTGTATCTAACAGTTCGCTGGTAAGCACTGACCATATACCTTGTAGATCAGGTGTTTTGCATGTCTTCCAGCAAGCAATTACTGGGCGGAACCGTTATCAGCTTGAGGCATGTATTAGAGAACAAGAACAAAGGGAGAGTCCATGAGAAACAGGCTGAAACTGTGCGATGAAAGCGATCATTGAACCACGAGTGTGCATGGTATTTCTAAAAGTGGTAACATCGAATTAAAAAGACGGGGTATGTTTCATCCTTCAGGGCGCCGACCCTATTACAGCCGCACGCCCCTGAGTAGAACGACTACTAAGTTTAAATTCAAATATTCGCGGGGCTTATGGGATGATGTACGAGAAAGCAATAGAGAGATAACGCGGGCAAGCAAGCACAGAAAATAAGGGGGAGAAAAGAAAAAAGAAAGGGGCGGGTGGAATAGCACATTGTATCCTGCTCTGGGGGTGGGAATAGAAATAGTAAAAGAGAGATAAATTCCGCTCAGCCCCTTTTCTTCGCTCTCCAAATATCAAACTCCGCCGGCCGACCCACACGATCCCGAACAAGTGGAAGATACGTGCCGGTCCAAACCAGTCACGCAGCTAAAACAGACCATCGTAAACACTTCCAGGGAGAATCCGAACCCTCTTCAAATAGGCGCCGAGCGCACAACGCTGTTTTTGATACAAAAGAAAACGTCCAATTTGTCGCTTTAGGACTCAGGGGCGACAGGCTTGGATTCCTCACCCTTATCCTCGGGAGCAGGGACAGACTCCTCTTCAGGCTTGTCTTCCTTGGAAGCAGCACCCTCGGCCTCCTGGCCATCGGAAGAGGTCCAAAGGGTAAGGTTGTCACGTAGAAGCTGCATGATAAGGGTGCTGTCGCGGTAACTTTCCTCCGAGAGCGAGTCGAGCTCGGCGATGGCATCATCGAAAGCCTGCTTGGCAAGGTGGCAGGCACGATCGGGCGAGTTCAGGATCTCGTAGTAGAACACGGAGAAGTTCAAGGCAAGACCCAAGCGGATGGGGTGGGTAGGAGTGAGATCAGTCTGGGCAACGTCGGTGGCGTTCTAGTCCAGCTTGTAAGTAGGGGCTTCAGTACGAGAGAACAACCATCGAGCATACCTTGTAGGCCTCGTGGGCAGCAGTAGCAGCAACCTTGCGCTTGTTGCCAGAAGCAAATTCAGCAAGATAACGGTGGTAGTCGCCCTTCCTATTCATCGAATTTGATTAACCACATCATTCATAGAGCGTTCCTGACACCATTGGGCTTACATCTTGTAGTAGAAAACCTTAGACTCGCCGGTCTCGGCCTTGGGGATGAGGGACTGGTCGAGAACGTCAAGAACATCCTGGCAGACCTTCTCCAGCTCGGTTTCAATCTTCTGTCGGTAATCACGAATGATCGAGACGTGTTGCTCAGAACCCTTGGACTCCTCCTTCTGTTCAATGGAGGAGATGATACGCCAGGAAGCACGGCGGGTACCGACCACGTTCTTGTAGGCAACGGAGAGAAGGTTACGCTCATCGACGGTAAGCTCGCCTCCAATCTGATGCGGGGTCAGCAAGGCAAGTAAAGGGTGGCGGGGGAGGCGATCTCAGGGGTGTAAAGCGAAATGAATACATACGTTGGCGACTTCCTGTTAGATCATTAGCGATCGCGTCTCAGATGATTGATATAACAAGCGTTTGGTAGGCTGCTACTCACCTTCATGTACGTGACCATCTCTGTAAAAAGAGGGAATTAGCACATAGGGTATAGAGGTCCAACCAAGACCACCCATGGGATCTTACCATCGTAGCGCTCAGCCTGCTCGCAAAGGCGGGCGAGGAATGTCTTGCTAGAGAAAGGGGGTTAGTATCTCTGTAATCTGCTGTTGATGGAGTCGGTCTGGACCCTTACTTCTCACGCTGTCCATGACGAAGTATTGTTAGTATTGTTTGACTTTATTGCAATACAATGTAAAAGACCATGGAGGGTTTCCAAGAGTGAGATGCATGCATCAACACGTCCAGCTACTATCGCAGCAGTGCGAGGAGAGACAACAATAGAAGAGGAGGGGTCAGGCTGCAACAACATACCTCAGAAGTCATGCTGGAAGATAGGGTACAGATAGGAAGATTACAAGACAGAGCACGGTGATTGAAAGGAGTCGATAGGAGAAGAGAAAAGAGGTGTGGGGAAAGAAGAAGACAAGAAGACAACACAGATGGAATGGGGATGTGAAATTCACTAGAGGTTTGACAGATGCGATCTTCAAGCAACAGATGATGAACCGGTGAGGTGACGGCCTGCCAGCTTTAGCGAGAGGCGGGCGCGGCCTATTGTTTGTGATGTTTGGCCGGAGGGTGCCCCCAGGCGCGCCTGAGGCAAGCAAGGCCCAACAGGGACGGTGCTGCCTGAGGCATAAAAGGACCCTCATCATCCTGAACTAGTAGATTGCACGATGGCGCATCCGCTTATTATCCATCTACTTTATTACCTGATATGTGAAGTTAGATCAGACTGATTCAGGTGCGCCTCAGCGTGAGTTGCTCCAGTTCATTCGGTATCATAGCACTATCCGCCTCTTTGGGGGGTATGTGTATGTATCGTTAACAATGGCCTTAACAACTATGAGCGTGAACTTCATATGCGGCAAAGATCAATTGCTGGGACTGAAGCCCATACTGGCTGCCTCTCTCAATATGTTTGACAAAGAATGAATTGATGATTGTTGAGCTGTGTCTATATACCTCCTCAATCGTACATACATACAACGCTTCTTCTAGGCAATTGAGGCTCGACATATTGAGGCATTTGGCAAGCGTAGTTAACCGACCGTGGTAGATGAATAAGCAAGCTCAGAAAGAGAAGAAAAGGGTGCTAAAACGAAGTCCAATTTATGATATGCCGTGCGGTTGTCATACCGAAGGATATTAGTTACCAATCTTTGGAAGGTGGCAAGATATTAGGGATTTTTTCTCTGGAGACGAGTCCCCTGAGATAGATCAGAAAAGGACCTCGCAATGTACCGCCCACATAGCCGTACACCACATCCGTACTCTGGATTCTGTAGTGGTTGACCATTTAGTACTCCGTATGCATACTCTAGCACAGGGCAAGGGCCCCATCCATCCTCTTCCAGGACCGAACATGGGTCTTGGGGCAAGGCATCAACATTTCTGAATGTGGAGATCGGCCCGATTCAATACACGTATTTTACAGCAGTATTGTACCGTACGTGCGTCCATATCTCGCCCTCCATACGTCTAGACTATTTCCTCCATGAATTATTCCTGATTATAACCTTTGGATCTAGTCGGATAATGAGATTCGTATGAATAACTATCAAGTTTGCAGTGTGTTAGCTTTGCCCTTGGGAAGCGATGGGAAGCAAGCTGACGCAGCAAAGTAGAGCAGCAAAGTAGCGGTCATGCTCCGCCATATTTGGTTATCTTACCGTTCAGCCCTGTAGGCTTATTTTGGTCCACTACCGACCAGACAGTCTTTGCGGCGGCGAAACGGGACCAATGGATCCAGAGACCCATGGCAGCAGACCGCAAAAGAACACGTTTGAATACAGGGACACTGATAAATTATTATTGACTCCAGGTACTTATCCACTCTCTCGGCTTCCAAACGCACGTCTTAACCCGGAGGCCCATTTCCAGGGTATTTTGTTCCCCCCCCTTTCCCAGTCATTATCACCTTTGTTATAATTATAACAATTGTTATTATCTGACTAAACAGTGTTGTTATCTATCAAGGCGGAATGATTAGAAAATAAAGGTTGCCAATTTCTTTTCTCCGCAATACTCTTCGGGGCACGGCTATCTTTCCCTCCCTTCTTCTAGATTCTTCCCGATAGTACCTTACCATTACTCGTTTCGTTACCAACCATCCGGCCACTTGGCGTTCATGTCTTGATCTCTAGCATCTGCGGACTTTTCTCCAGGCCTTTCTCCTCTCTTTCCCTCCTCCCCTTGCTCCCAACCCTAGTCAAACCCTTGACGGTTGTGGTTCATCATGGAGCATTCCTACCTCTATTCCCCAAAAGAGGTGCTGGAGCACTTTAGTGTTGCAGAGCATTCGGGTCTATCGCAAGAACAGGCGTTGAAATCTAGGCAAAAACATGGACCGAATGGTTAGTCACATAGATCCAACGTTCGAATGAGAGCACAAACTGACTCAATCTCATCCATCGTGTAGCGCTTGCGGAAGACCCTCCCACCCCCCTTTGGGAGCTCATCCTGGAACAATTCAAAGATCAACTGGTCCTCATTCTTCTAGGCTCTGCTGCGCTGTCTTTTATCTTGGCTCTTTTTGAAGAAGGAGACGATTGGACTGCCTTTGTTGACCCGGTTGTGGTAAGTCCTGAATATATTTGGTTCATTCAGGTGGTCGAAAAGCGCCGCTAACCCTTGCTGTGACCACAGATCCTGACGATTCTCATCCTCAATTCTGTCGTTGGCGTGACGCAGGAAACCAGCGCGGAGAAAGCAATTGCCGCGCTCCAAGAATATTCCGCGAATGAGGCTACTGTAGTTCGTGATGGGAAAACCCAGCGTATTAAGGCTGAAGATCTGGTTCCTGGAGACGTGATCCATGTCGCTGTTGGAGATCGTGTACCTGCCGACTGCCGACTGATCGCAGTCCATAGCAACAGTTTCCGGGTCGACCAGGCTATCCTGACGGGCGAGAGCGAGAGTGTTGGGAAAGATACCCACGCCATTCGCGATAAGCAGGCTGTCAAGCAAGACCAGACCAACATCCTCTTCTCGGGTACCACAGTCGTCAATGGACACGCTACAGCCCTGGTGGTTCTGACTGGCGGATCAACTGCCATCGGTGATATCCATGATAGCATCACGTCTCAGATCTCGGAGCCAACACCACTGAAGCAGAAAATCAACGATTTCGGTGATATGCTTGCCAAAGTGATCACAGTCATCTGTATTTTGGTGTGGGTGATCAACATTGAGCATTTCAACGACCCCTCCCACGGCGGTTGGACCAAGGGAGCTATTTATTACCTCAAGATTGCGGTTTCTCTTGGTGTGGCTGCCATCCCTGAAGGCTTGGCTGTTGTAATCACTACTTGTCTTGCTCTTGGTACTCGCAAGATGGCCAACAAAAACGCGGTAGTTCGGTCGCTCCCTTCCGTGGAAACCTTAGGAAGTTGCAGCGTTATCTGCTCAGACAAGACTGGTACTCTGACCACTAATCAGATGAGTGTGAACAAGATTGTCTACCTGGACAAGACTGGCAACGGTGTTCAAGAGATTGATGTCGAAGGTACAACTTTTGCGCCCAAGGGCAATCTTTCCCAGAATGGCAAGGCCTTGCAAAATCTCGCGGTTTCTTCCTCTACTATCCGACAGATGGCCGAGGTAATGGCTATTTGTAACAGTGCGAACCTCTCCCACGATGCCAAGAGTGGTGTCTACTCGTGTATCGGCGAGCCAACCGAAGGAGCCTTGCGCGTTCTGGTTGAGAAGATTGGAACTGACGATGCCGCTACCAACATGAAAATATCTCAGCTACCCGTATCTCAGAGGCTCCGTGCTTCGAGTGCTTACTATGAGAGTCGCCTGCCACTGAAGGCAACTTATGAGTTTTCTCGCGACCGAAAGAGTATGTCTGTCCTTGTTGGCTCGGAGAAGAATCAAAGTCTTTTGGTCAAGGGTGCTCCTGAATCCATCCTTGAGCGATGCACCCATGTTCTCCTGGGGTCTGATGGACCCCGTGTACCTATCACTAAAGAGCACGCCGACCTGCTTTCTGCTGAGATTGTTGAATATGGTAACCGTGGCCTTCGTGTGATGGCTTTCGCCCGTGTTGATGATGTGGGAGCCAACCCTCTCCTGCGCAACGCCCAGACCTCTGATGATTACGCTCAATTGGAACGGAACATGACTCTCGTTGGCCTTGCCGCTATGCTTGACCCCCCGCGTGTCGAGGTTGCTGGTTCAATCAAGAAGTGCCTTGCTGCTGGTATTCGGGTGATCGTTATCACCGGTGATAGCCGAAACACTGCTGAGGCCGTCTGCCGCCAGATTGGTGTCTTCGCTGAAGATGAAGATCTTGCCGGCAAGAGCTTTACTGGTAGGGAGTTTGATGGCCTATCTGATAGCGAGAAGCTCGAGGCTGTTAAGACAGCCTCTCTTTTCTCTCGGACCGAGCCCAGCCACAAGTCTAAGTTGGTCGATCTCCTTCAGTCTTTGGGCCATGTGGTTGCGATGACCGGTGATGGAGTCAACGATGCGCCTGCCCTGAAAAAATCTGATATTGGTGTAGCTATGGGTACCGGTACCGATGTGGCTAAACTGGCTGCTGATATGGTGCTGGCAGATGACAACTTTGCAACTATCACTGTTGCTGTTGAGGAAGGAAGATCTATTTACAGCAACACTCAGCAGTTCATCCGGTATCTTATCTCTTCTAACATTGGAGAAGTGGTGTCGATCTTCTTGACAGCGGCGTTGGGTATGCCTGAAGCATTGGTACCCGTGCAGTTGTTGTGGGTGAACTTGGTCACCGACGGTTTGCCTGCGACTGCTCTGTCATTCAACCCACCTGATCATGATGTGATGAGACGCCCCCCTCGTAAGCGTGATGAACCCCTTGTTGGTGGCTGGCTACTGTTCAGATACCTGGTTATCGGCACATACGTCGGTGCTGCCACCGTCTTTGGCTACGTTTGGTGGTTCCTTTACAACCCAGAAGGGCCCCAGATTTCGTTCTGGCAACTGGTAAGCTCAACGACAACCCTCAAGGTTTCTTTCTTGTACGCTTTACCCTGTACTGACTCTATCTGCAGTCTCATTTCCACAAGTGCTCTGCACAGTTCCCCGAGATTGGCTGTGAGATGTTTACGAACGATATGTCTCGTTCTGCTTCTACAGTTTCTTTGTCTATCTTGGTAGTAATCGAGATGCTGAACGCTATGAATGCCCTTTCGTCTAGCGAGTCCCTGTTCACTTTCGCTCTCTGGAACAACATGATGCTGGTCTATGCTATCATCCTTTCGATGACATTGCACTTCGCCATCTTGTACATTCCATTTTTACAGGGATTGTTCTCGATCCTGCCGCTAAACTGGATTGAATGGAAGGCAGTCTTGGCCATTAGCGCTCCCGTTATGTAAGTTTCATTTACCTTAATTGTGGTTTCTGACTAGCTAATAAGTTGCAAGAATCATTGATGAGGCACTTAAATTCGTCGAGCGCCAGATGTACACCACCACCCCCAAGGTTACGGGTCAGCAGAATGGAGCTGCATCCAAGCCTAAGAGGGCATAGATGTTGTAGTATGTGAGGTTGAGTGGGTGGCACAATAGATATAGATATCGACTTTTTGAGTCGTTGATTTCATTTTCTTTTCTTGGACACTCATGACATGTATGAAACGTGTTAGATGTTCTCCATGGTAGAGAGCAATGAAGAAATGAATTAGCCAGGAGTATCAAAGCTACGTCCTATGGGTCGTCAGTCCAGTTTACTCATATTGCAAAGAAGAATCAGAACTTTTTCCTTCTGGGCTCAACCTTCATTTTCACCTGTGCTTTCTTCCCCTCCCTATTAAATTATCTCATGCACAAATTAGCCCTAGTGTGATAGAACCGAGTCACGTTCCATTTCCCGTGACCTGGTTCTCGAATTCTTCGATGAATGTAGACAGAATACTACCTTCCTGCTTGTACCTACTACTAATTAGTACGATACGACCCTGGACTAGCCTTGCTTCGGGGACAATCCCCCATTTCATCCATGACATGGGTCTCCTGACCTTTCACGGGACTGTGAGAGGGGGGGG